GGGGATGAATAGAAACGCAAAGTACCAGGTCAGTGGAAGTCAAGGGCCGGTAGTCCAGACTGGCCCGGAAGTCTCGGATCATGCACATGATCTCGTAGTTTGGCAAGTTCACGTCGACTTCCTGCAACCACACGCGCGTTGTGTCACATACGATTGTGTGTGTGTGTGTGTTTTGTGTGTGCGTGCACGTGTGCTCCCGCCTGAGCTCGTTTTTCTCGCAGTTCCTGCTGCTGAAGTCGGCGCTTCTCTCGCTTCTCCTGCAGCTTCTCCACTTCCTTCACGCAGTTGGACTTCCTTCGCGCTGCGGGAGCACAAAAGTCGTCAGCATCACCGCTTCAAATCCGACAAGAATGGCAGTTTTTTTTTTGCCATCTTGCAAAAAGCCCTTGCCATCTTGGAAGACGTTTTGTCCACGGCACGAAATAAACATTCATTCAAATATGAGGCGAGCTTGACCATGAATCAATTTGTCATCCAGTATTAGATTTGGAATTTGTTTGTGATATTCGCTGGTCACAAATCATATCGAGCCTCTTTTAATAATATATTTTTATTTCATCTACAGTTATTTTACAGAATGATATATTTGGGGACATTTTTATTGAACGGAAAGAGTTTATTTTGGACTTTTTAAATGTAACTTTTAATACTCAACATCATGACTTGATGTGAATGTCCGCTTGTCTGAAAGACAAAGTGAGGTGTGTTGCCAACTCCAATGGAATAACTCTGTTTGTAAACATTTGTTGAGGTCAATCCAAGCAGGTTGTGAGTCTTGTATTGGCAGAGTGAGTATCGTATGTGTGAGTATATAAGATAAGATCAACTTTGTTAGTTCCACAATGGAGAAATTTGCAAGCGCTCACACAAATGTGTGCGTGTTAGGACTCATGTCCCTCAAAGACTCTTTTGAGGCGGTCTCGTCAAGCTGTGAGCATCATGACATCATCGTGCTCAAGGGCCAAGGGTGTGTGTGTGTGCGTGTGCGTGTGCGTGTGTGTGTGTGTGTGTTTGTGTGTGAGTGTTACCATTCTGCTGCTGGATCAGCGATTGGTTGGCTGCTGTTGGAGCTGCTGCGGGCTGGGTGGTGATGGACGGGGGAGGGGGCTCAACATGCTGGCTGTGCTGGCTCGGACGAGCTCGGGTGGTTCCCACCGCCGCAGCTGAAGAGTCACGCGATCATCCACAAGTGGAAATCGGGAACCAAGTGATGACAAGGTTTCAGGTTGGTGCATAATCAACCCACAAACACTTCTCACACTTTACTGGCGTCGTCCTCCGTGAGTCTGCTATTCATGGTTAAAATTTGGACGTACTCTTTGAAGGACCCCCAGAAATTGCCGATATCTGCCTAAAACCCAAAATGGTTTCTCAGGGCAGACTCGCCGGGCCAAATTTGGTCTACGCCAGGTCACAAGCACGAAAACGGGATGAACGTTTGGAGTGTGGACAAGCGAGCCATAAAATGGTGCAAAAATAGTATCGAATGAGCCTCCAAAATGCTAAACCAAAGACGCATCTGTTGAGCCTAATCTGCCAAATGTAGTTTACATCATCATCGTCATTATCGAGTAGATCAACAACACTTGGCTACATCCTGTTAGCCAATGGTGCGATCGCTAACTTTGTCGAGCAGGCGTACCTCTGTTCTCCCGCGGGGCGTTCTCAGGTTTGGGTATCGCGGTGGTTCGTCGAGTCTGGCGAGGGGGAAAAAAAAGCAAGTTGAAAGCGCAAATCGAGGCCCGTTTAATATGACAGAGAAGAGCGGACCTTGGGCACTTTGCTGGGCTTGGCAACGTTGGAAGGAGGGAGAGCTGTCTCCGGACTTGGGGGCACATCTTCCTCGGGGGCAAGATCCGGGTTCAGTGCAAAGACGCTCTCCAGGTCGATCTACGACAAGAGAACAGTGTGATTATTCAGATTTTGCAGAAAATGTCTCCTGTGGAGGATGCGTACCTCTTTTCCTTTGGTGTCGCCATTCTCGATCCATTCCACCGTCACACTGTCGTTGTCCTCGTGCAGTGACGTGACCATCGCCTGGTGGATTCGACCTGCGTGTGGGGAATTTCAAACGACATGATATGACTATGAGTGATGAGAAGTAAGAAACTATGTTGAAGTGAGGGGAGGCGTTTTACTAAGACAGGGCATAACTTTGTCTAATAGGAATATAAAGCTTTCCCGCCATTTTGTGGCATCTACTATCCAGTCGCGGAAGGGCTAGGACTGAAATTGACATGTCAAAGGAGAACACAAGCACAAACAATGGTGGCCCTTGAGGCTCCAAAAGGCTCCATGCTGGACCCGAGTCAGGGCGTGGCAGCATGACAGGCCCACTTGACTGACAGCCATCCCAATGTGCCGCATTTCAAAGCGGAAGAAGAATATAAAGCAGCCATTCGAAAGGAAGACGCTATCTCCTCCTGGGATGGAGACCTCTCCCTCCCCCCACCCTCATCACCGGCGGATGCAGGACACACATCCGACACAGGTGGACCGCGAGAGGAATACCTCGGCAGGGGGAAACTCCCGGGGCAAGTGACATCTCTTACTAGGTCGAGTGACACCCACCCGGTGTGAGAATGACAAAATCCCGCGTTCCAAATTTGGGCGGACATGTTAGGACGGCAAAGAAAACGACGATGACGGTGATGTCGCGAGTGCTTGCTTGCTTGCTAGCTGCCGTCAACGTTTGCTCCATCACGGCGGCAGCGGTTGGACCGGCGGCGAGGACACCGAGCAGTCATTCGCGGGGTCGGTCGGCTTACCTACCGTCACTCCGCTTTATCTCCACGTAGATGCCCACGAAGACCTTCCCGTAGATGGCGGCCATCGCCCCACCTCTCTCCCTTCCCTCCTCTTCCCCCCACCCCTGCGTTATTTATTTAAATGAAGGATAATTTGGTGAGCTCGCGCGTGCCAAGTTGTGTTGGCCGCTGGTCACCGGGCAGAGGGAGGGAGGGGCTCCAGTGCGCATGCGCGGCCGTTGATCATCTAGCGTCACCGTTGTTGACACTGCTCAAGCGCAACAATGACAGCGTTTCATCGCATTAGCATCATCATCACATAGGAGCTACTTCAAGAACAGGGGGGCATACATTGAAATGGTGTTTTATCTGAAACCTAATCAGGAAGGGCCGTGGGCGTGCTGGAGCCTATCGCAGCCCTTTTCGGGGTACAGCCTGAACTGAGCACCAACCAAACGCACTCAAACAGCAACCATTCACACCTATTGAAGTGTTCCAGGAAGCTGCCACGCATGTTTTTGGAATGCGGGAGGAAACCGGACTACCGGGAGAAAACCCACACAGGCACGGGGACAACCATGCAAACTCCACGCAGGAGGGCCGCAGCCCAAGTAATATTCAATACAGTATTATTCAATGGAATTATTTTAAACTCAAAGTTCAGAAACGATGCCAAGTTAAAATGAGCAAAATAATTCGAACCTCTTTATAATTGAAAATGTAAAAGTAAAATGTTGTAGTCAGGGTGCCCCGCAAACATGTTTATCGTTCTTCATTTTTGGTCCGTTGACAAAAGCGCGCGACGGCCTAGTAATTAAGATCAACAATGCTTTTAAATTCTGGGAAATAGTCTAATTTTAAACATCAATTTACAGATTTACTTGAATTTACTCCTTATGAACACACGATGGCGGTAGACGACCAGAAACAAGTTTCTAAAATCATCACCTGTAATTGGCAAAGGACCCCTGCGACCCCCCCCCCAAAAAAAAGATTGAACAGTTCATTTCTGAAACTGAAAAATTTAATCCAAAAAGCAAATTTTTTTGGAACAAGTTTGTAAAACAGTGATTTTGTTACATAAATAAAGGAATCAGTGTATCAAACATCAGTTTCATGAGCATGTAGATGCCATGTTTTAAGTCGAGTGTAATAAATAACATTCTCGAAAACAACAGGCGCTAACAACATGCAAAATGATCTTTTTAAAAAAAAAAAGAAAAACATGAAAGACTCCATCTTTTGGTTGCATGGGAAGCAGTTATGGGAATTTGTACCTTGCGCTGAATGTAAAGGCTACGGAAAAAAATGCTCCAGTGGCTTTACATGTGATTGTTTTAAAGCGTTCAAATGTCAAGGCAAGAAAGAAGGCTCACAGAAGACGAGCATTTCTCGGGATAAAGTTCCGACGTGAAACTGAAGCAGTTTTGTTGCGTTTTTCCTCGTTTGCGTGCTCTTCCTTCCACCGTACACTCTGCTCGTCCGCCTCCTGTCAAGTCCTCCTGAAATGTTTTTTTTTGTGTTGAAAAAAAAAAGGGTACTGCAGCTTCAAGTATTGAACCTCACATCGACTCTTCTCTCCCATCATAACTTCACATATATTTGTTGTCCATAAACTCTTGCTATGTACATTAAAATGCTTTTGTTCTCTTTTGTTCCCTGAGAAGGTTTTTGTGTAACGCGCAACTAGCGAGCGAGACCACCACGAGGGCTTTCCCTGAAAATGGGACAGAACCAAACCGGGGCACCGTGCGAGAACCCGAACACAAGGATTGGGGCCTGAACCGCAAATTTAACCCAACCCATACCGGGATACACCTCAAACCAGCCTGGACCCGAACGTGACCAATTCGATTTCCCAAACCTAAACCAACCCTATCATGACCCCCACTCAAATTCAAAGTCCTCCCCCTCCCTTTAATAGGAGTCAACCCCACTTCAATGCTACCTTTTCTCCCAATTCTATGGCTAAACTTCACCCCAAGGCAACACGGAGTTTATCCAAAGCTAACAATTACCCCGACTCGGATTGAAACGCCCCTTTACCCGAATTCTATCCCGAACCTTGCGACCCTGCGCCTGACCCGAACGCTCAGGTAGTGCCGTAAAGCTGGATCCGAAAAGAAGAGGCACTGACCGGTTGCTCCATTTGGCTCAAAGACACTTCCCGTTGAGGCTGTTGGCACCGGGCGAGGCGGACGTTCACGTTTGTGTTCAGGGTACGACTCCCTTTCCCAAAAAGAAAAAAAAAAAAAAAAAGCAACACACAAATTTTCACAGGCACAGCCAGTAACAGTGAACCCAGATTGACCGCACCTCATTGTTGGGTGCCCGCCTGATGGCACAGGTTCTTAAGCGATGGTCTCGAGATACACAGTCACCATTCCTCTTTTGCAAGGGTGGGTCGCAATCAAAAGGGGTTCACTGCCATCTTTGGTCATTTGCATCTTGGCCCGTTCACGTGAAATGTTTCAAACACTCGATAAGACTTTAGGTTCACTTCAAGTTGTCGGATAAAACTCAAGTAAAAGTGGCGTTTTGGTCACCCCCCCGCCCCTCCAATTCCTTTTGCTCTTCATCTGTCAGCCAAAGTGCTCTCGCACCAGCAGCATCAGTTTCTTTTTGCCCTTGTAGATTTGTTTGAGGTTCTCGATGAACTGCGTGAACTGCACGTGGCTGTGATGCGCCATGAGGAAGGTCTCGCGCGCCTTACTGAGGAAGTCGATGAACTCGCCGTAGTGTCGCGGGCTGATGTGCGTCAGGCGCGAATGCGCGGTGTCGATGTAGGCGGCGATGGCGGCGTCCAGCAGAATCCGCAGCGGCGCCTTGTCCAGCGACATCAGCTTGGCCGCGTTCCTGCGACCGTGCGGCGCCAGCATGGTGGGCGTGGTCAGCGCGCACCGCCGCAGGATGTCCGACAGCACCGTGGCGCACTTGACGCTCTTCACCACCACCGGGATGACGGCCGCCAACTCGTTTTTACCCAGCGAGTGGCTCAGGGCGCACGCCCACAGGACGTCGCCGATGGCCGGGTGCAAGTCCTGGTTGTAGCTGAGGTTCAGGTGCGTCATGGCCAACGTGGCCAACTTGTACGCTTTCATGGGGTAGCCCCGTTCCTCCATGTAGTGTGCAATGGTGAACAGCTTCATGTAGCTCATGTCCGCGGAGGCGGCGTCCAGCACGATCTGGTAGGCCATCTCGAAGGCGGCGCGGTCCTTCTCGCACAGCGTCAGGGCCGACAGGGCGCAGTTCTGCGGGTCCTTGGCCGCGCACTGCAGGGCCAGGGCGCGCGCCGAGTTGGCCAAGTTCTCCTGCTGCCGAGAGTCCACGTGGAGGCGCGCGACGGCGCCGTTGGACAGGACGCTGCTCGCTACCACGCTGGTGGCCTCTGTGGGCGTGAAGAGGGTGAACCAGCTTTGCATGATGCTGTCCAGCGCAAGCACACCTGAGGACGCGTGGACAAGAGGAGAACATTTCAGATTTCTTTTTTTTTTTTGTTGTTGTTGTTGAAAATTTGTGTGAAAAAAAAATGTGCTTTTCAAACGTCAACTCACCGACTTCAGTGGCGCACGTGACGAGCCAGCACACCATCTTTCGTCTCTGCCGGTCGACGGTGGACAAGGTCATCCTCATCACCTGCCGAAGAGCGGAAATGAGCCAAAGAAAGACGGACGGAGGGTTGGAGAATGACGCGCCTTACCTGGAGGCCCAGCTCCAGAGACACCTTGAGCAGCGTCAGGTCGGGCAGGTCGCCCATCGTGGTGGCGATCTTGAAGACGTCCTGGGCCAGTTTGAAGATGTGTGACGAGGAGTGAATATTCTTCTGGATGGACTCCAATACCGTTTGCAGCTTGTACGCGTCACCTGACGACAAATAACGAGACAGGGCGGGGGCGGGGTCTTTGAGACCAGTACTGAAAACACATTGCACGGTGTCCTTGATTTGTTTTTTTTTTTTCCTAGTTTCGGGATACCGCGCAACCGTAGTCTTCTCATTCCCGAGGCGTACCTTTGGCAGCGGTGAGCATGGCGGACGCCAGTTCGCACTGCTGAGATTCAATGTGGCTGAGCGTGAACCAGCGAGGGTAGCGATTGGCCGCGACAGACGCCATGTGATGCGAGCGGGACAGGTCGCCGGACGCCACGCTCGACTCCAGGACCGGCAGCCTCGAGGACAAAAGCAGCACAAGTGCTCATGAGGCCTCAAAGTGCGGGCACCTTTCGCCCTTGCGGAGAGCAGCCCCAGAAAGCAAAAGGCTCCTTTTGCACTCTTCCAAGTACAAAGTCCTTCGCAGGGTTTTGCTTTTAGGTCAGTAGCGAGTATGGATAATAGTTCCCGCGGTCCACCGGATGCAAAAGTGCCTGCTTGGAGGGTAAAGTTGTTCCTCTTAAGGCCCATTGGCGCTGGTCCGCTCCACTCACCTGATGGCCCTCAGTGCAATCTTGTAGGCCAGCTCGGCATCATGAGGTAGCAGCGAGCTGAAGAGATACTTGGCGAAGGCGTGCATGGGGACGCTCTCTCGGTACAGCAACTCGCCCAGACCGCTGTAAGGACCGGCTGGAGCAGGAGGGAAAACACGCACGTTTGGAAATATCTGACAGAAAATTCAGAGTTCTCCAATTTTCGGACCTGAGCCAAAATGACTCCTTGGCACCAAAATGGCAGCCATCCTTACCGGACCGCCTTTATTTAAAACACTGGCCAGAGTGCAACTTTGAGCGAATTGGACGAACCCTCCAGCAAGATGGCGGCTTGCTTGCGGAAGACGTTCAGCAGCGCGTCGTCCAGCTCCAGCTGCTGCAGTTTGGCCAGCAGCTGCTCCTCGTTGCGAAACACCTTCTCCTGCGCGTAGAGCCCGTCGGGCATGGCCCGCTGCTGCCCCAGGCCGAGCAGCGCCACCTCCACCGCCAGCGCCGCCGGCGTCTCGCCCTCGTCCGGGACCGCGTCCGTCTCCGTCTCGGTGAGGGTGCTGAAGAGGGTGCCCACGGGGTCCAGGGGGTGGCCCACCCAGCCCTCGAGGTTGGTGATGGACGTCATGCCCTTGTGGAGCTCCTCTGCCCGCGCACACAAACACGCGCGCCATTTCTACATGTTACGACAGCACGGAGGGTCAGAGGTGGTTTTAAGAAATCAGTTGTTCATGATAATTAATTGCTTCGATTTTTTTCCAAGCAGCATCAAATAATAAGCTGCTTTACATCCACATTTGTTACACTAATGTACCCATTTTTTTTTAAATCACTTTTTTATTTTGGAAATTTTTAGAATTCTTATCCCATTAAATAAATACATGCAGTAAAAAAAAAAATCTATATCTAATATTTGAAAAAGCAGAAACCTTTCTTGAGACTGCGGAATTGCTGGAGCTCCTTGTGCTGCTCCTTTCGCAGTGTGTTGACGACGGCCACGGCCAGCCGCAGCGCCTCCTTGGGGTACCCGTGAGCACGAAGGGCGTCCACGCGGGCGCACGCCGTGGGGACGTGCTCTGCAAATCACAATTCTTGCTCTGGTAAGGTTCACGTTTCCGCTACCGTCGATGCTAATTTCCGTCGACGGCATTTTAGCACGACGCCTGTTTCGCGGTTCATCTCACCGCGCCACAGGGGCCGCCCCCGGCCGTCAAAGAGGTCCGGGTGGTCGAGGCAACAGCGCTCGGCGTCGTGGTCCTCGGTGAGGATGTGCTGCAAGTGGGGGTCCTGCCAGTGGAGGTCGCAGGCCTCCATGGCCCGCGTGAACACTGTGCGCCGAGGCGAGTCTGGGCGGGGAAGAAGGGCAGCGCCATTGGGAGCGTTTAGTCAATGGCCGCCGGGTGAGCGGCTCGCGACTTGGCCTGAAGGGAGTGCCCGCCGGTCCTGTTGACCTTCAAAAAAGAGGAGCGGGGGTGAAGCGGGGGTGAAGCGGGCGCTCACCGCGGCTGAGGTTGCCGAGCTGGCCGCCGCCCTGGTTTCCGTCCTCCAGGGGGCACACGTCCACGCCGTTCCAGCGGCGGAGCTGCTTCAGCCACCTCGACTTCTGCTCGGCCTTACAGTGAGGGTTGAGGACGACGCACATCCACAGCGCCCCTGCGGGGGCACGCGTGCAAGGTGAGGGGCATTCTCTATGATTGACGTGCATTTGATTCCTTTTTCCATTTTCTCTTTGCAAAGAGCCAACAAGCCCGCTGGCTGCGCCCCGCGAGGACGACGGGACGACAATGGACACTGAGCGGCGATGAATGAAGGACGACAGATGACAAGACCAAGAAAACGAGGAGGATGGAGAAGGTACGGGGGAGGGGGCTCTTTGTTCCAACTGCGCCAAGGACAATAAGACGGCGGGGTAAAGAAAGACAAGATTGATGGTGGCAAAAGGCATCGGACAGCTCGATAGAGTCGATGTCGGAACGCCTTCTCTGTGCAGAACAAGCTGCCCCCTACTGAGGAGGAGGACAGAGAAATGACCAACGTTAGCAAGGTCATGCTCACGTTAGTGAAGGAGCGCGTTGGTGGAGATGTTCAATGGCAACGACTCCAACGCAAACAACAGCGGCAACCCACTTTTGGACCATTTCAACAAAGCCTTTGACATATTTTATGATGAACGATCATGTCCTTTGAATTCTCGACAAAAAAACTCCACGTACCGAGTTCATTCCAGAGCTGCCTGTACTTGTCGGTCATGGTGCTCGTCATGGTGGGCCTTTGTTGACGCCACAGCGCCAGCCGGGGGTCCCCCATGAACTGCTCGGTGATCAGCGTCAGCATGCGGGCGCCGTTGGAGTCGCGCATCTTCAGCATCTCTCGCATCTGTGGCCCCCAGCCCCCAAAAAAAATACGCATTGTGAGGGGAGGGGGGAGGGGGGGTGATAACGCATCAGAGGAGGAGCGTCGGTGGGTGGGCTCGCCTTGCTGAAAAGGAGGTTGAGCTGCTTGCCGGGGCCGTGGTGGCCGCCCTGGGACAGGAGGTGCTTGACCTGCTCCTGGACTTGTGCCTCGTCCAGATGCCAGCAGTTGTCGTCATCCACGCTGGCCCCGGCCGTCGGGTCGGGGGCACCTGGAGACCACCGCGAGTCCAGGATGAGAAGTCACGCGCGTATATTGAGTTTCACGTTTTACACGGACGAAAGGGGCACTGGCGTTTGCGTCGCGAGACGAGCACGGCGCTCACCGTGCACCTGGTTGATCTCAGAGTTCTGCGACAGGATGTCGTCGGCCAACTTCTGCGCGGTGGGCAGCACCTCGGTGTGGTGCACCGTAATCAAGTACTGCACCAGCTTCTGCAGCTGGTCGCGGTTCATCTGGAGCAGCGTCTCCGAGATGGGCAGCCGCAGCTCCACCCGTTCGGGGCTGCGCAGGCGGTACAGCGCCAGCGCCACCACGTGGGCGCAGTAGCTGATGTCCTTGTTGCCGCAGCCGCACGTCACCGCCGTGATCTTGCAGCGGTCGAAGCTCACGCTCACCTTGCGCAGCAGCTCCGGCTCCGAGGGCGTGGCCGGCTCGCGCACCGTGCCGCTCAGGTGGAAGCCTGCGTCCCAGACAAGAAAGCCACGCAGGTTTGAGGAATGTGAACGATCAATATGGTAAAATCGGTTTGAGAAATCGTCTTGGAAACAATCTTATTTCTGCCACGAACTAAACGGTAGACAATAGTTCTTGCGGTCCAAACACCCCCCTCGCACACACTATGAGCGAAAGCTCAAGTTATACTGTAAACCTAAGAAGATAATTGAGGCCCCGCCCCCTCGTTACCCCCCTGATCTGATCGTTGGGTGGTCTTGGTGAGCCTGATTAGCCTCCAGAGTGGGACAACATGCGGGGGAGCGGCAGCAGCACCGGTCAAGCAGCTTTGACCACTAATGTGCTCAAGGAAGGCCATTTGTGTGTGTGCGTGCGTGCGTGCGTGCGAGATGAATTACACCCTGTTCGAATTGAGGTCAGCCAAGATTTGAGTTAACCGGGTCAAAGTGTGGGCACCGGCCGCTTTGCGTGCCAGTTTGCTTATCAATGGCAAAAGCGAGCGAGGAGTTAAGGAGGAGGCCTTGACGCAACACCGCTGAGAAAAGATTCATAATTCTTTTAAAGTCTTTGACTCGTAATGACGCTTTTATTTTGTGAATGCAAACACTTTGTTTTTCTTCTTTCTACCCACACTCTTGCTGCTGTGGACTGTAAATTTCCCCAGTGTGGGACAAATAAAGGATATCTTATCTTATATGACAATTAACCGCAATTCAAGCGCAAGCTGCTCGAAAAGTTCCGCGTGCTGCCGGTCGCTTTGCACCATCAGTCACCAATAAAAATTAGAATAATAAATGACATGTTGTTTTCTTTTGGTGTCCATTTGTAGTTCACCAAAATGTCCCAAGAGGCTATTTATATGACGGAACAGAAAAATTCGGCATTCTGAGGCGGGTAACTTGATTTCTTCTCACGCGAAGCCGCTTTGTGGAAAGACAAATCGACTTCAAGACGTGCCGAGCGAGGATATTTGAATCTGAAAAGCAGGAATGCGGCCAACAATTTCTACGGGGAAAAGATGCCCTGCCGACAAGACCAATATGAGCTCCGTTACAATCACTTCACTGTTGTAGCGCTCGAACTGCTGTTATCTGCGTCAGCCTGGAAGTGTTGACATTTCAGCCCACAAGAACTCCACTTCATGCTTGAGTTTAAAAATAAATGTACTCTACCCAGAGTTGTTCCTCGCTTAGATATACTTTGTGAAGTACTTACATAGCATCATGATTACATGCATGCATTGGGCATAGAAACGAAGTTGAGGGAGCCCAGATGTTTTTCAAAAAGTTCAAAGTAACAAACAAACGTTAAGAAACACGCAAACAGACTAAGAGAGACTAAGTAGTTTCGAATATATTTTTTCTTGGTTTTGTTTTTGGTTTTGGTTTTGTTCTAGTCAGGTCACAAACATTTTCGGGTGTCAGCCCCACACAGAAAGCAAAAGCGCAAATGACTTTGCGCAGAAAGGTTGCCAAGAGGCTCAAAAGCGCCCCTTTGTGTGCATGCATTTTAATTCCATTTGTCTTTCTACCCACACTCTTGCTGCTGTGGACTGTAAATTTCCCCACTGTGGGACAAATAAAGGATATCTTATCTTATATGACAATTAACCGCAATTCAAGCGCAAGCTGCTCGAAAAGTTCCGCGTGCTGCCGGTCGCTTTGCACCATCAGTCACCAATAAAAATTAGAATAATAAATGACATGTTGTTTTCTTTTGGTGTCCATTTGTAGTTCACCAAAATGTCCCAAGAGGCTATTTATATGACGGAACAGAAAAATTCGGCATTCTGAGGCGGGTAACTTGATTTCTTCTCACGCGAAGCCGCTTTGTGGAAAGACAAATCGACTTCAAGACGTGCCGAGCGAGGATATTTGAATCTGAAAAGCAGGAATGCGGCCAACAATTTCTACGGGGAAAAGATGCCCTGCCGACAAGACCAATATGAGCTCCGTTACAATCACTTCACTGTTGTAGCGCTCGAACTGCTGTTATCTGCGTCAGCCTGGAAGTGTTGACATTTCAGCCCACAAGAACTCCACTTCATGCTTGAGTTTAAAAATAAATGTACTCTACCCAGAGTTGTTCCTCGCTTAGATATACTTTGTGAAGTACTTACATAGCATCATGATTACATGCATGCATTGGGCATAGAAACGAAGTTGAGGGAGCCCAGATGTTTTTCAAAAAGTTCAAAGTAACAAACAAACGTTAAGAAACACGCAAACAGACTAAGAGAGACTAAGTAGTTTCGAATATATTTTTTCTTGGTTTTGTTTTTGGTTTTGGTTTTGTTCTAGTCAGGTCACAAACATTTTCGGGTGTCAGCCCCACACAGAAAGCAAAAGCGCAAATGACTTTGCGCAGAAAGGTTGCCAAGAGGCTCAAAAGCGCCCCTTTGTGTGCATGCATTTTAATTCCATTTGGGGCGTTTAAAGGTTGCAATGGAAATGCAAAGTGCCCGAAGGAGAAGGCGTTGCGTTCAAAGCCTTCTCACACATCCCCATTGAGGGGATTTAAAGCCCCATTGTTGCCTCCTTTGTGACCACTCCGCAATTTGCGAGTTGTTTGGGGCGTGGGGGTTTCATCACCCCGGTAGATGGTATTTAAAAGAACATATTCAACTCACCCACTTGCAAGACGTGGTCCACGCAGCCGCCATCCAGGAAGGCGACGCCGCGGCGGAAGGGCAGCCGAGGTTCGTCGCCGCTCTCCGGTCCGCCGAGATCCCCCGCCCCGCTTCCGAACGACGAATACATGCAGATCTCTCGCTCGCTCCTCGGGAAGGACCAGTACACTATCCGGCGTTGTACGGGCTCCGGAATCCGCTCGAAACGCTCCTCCACCCGCTGGAAAGGCCACTTTTCTGCCACCCGCCTCGCCGCTACGTCCAGCAGCGACTCCGGGCTCTGCATGATGCCCGCCGACGAAGCCCCGACCCCGGCTTGCTGGTCTGGCCGACACGTCGAGCCGTAGCCCGGCCTGCAGCAGAGCCGCTTGGCCGCGCGCTCCGCCATGATAGCTCGGCTCGAACGTCGACGAAAAGTCAACGCAGCGCCACGCGACTGGGAAGCGAAAATGTCAGCCACAGTTCGGTTGTTCGCCAAATCATCCTTTTAAGGAACCCGTGTGGGGGGGGGGGTTGGCTTCCGCGGGTTTGCCAAACCCCTTGTTGACAAACGAAGGGAAGGCGGGTCACTCCGGTCCGGTTAGCTCCGTGCTAACTGAGGACTCCGCGCACAATTCCCAAACAGATTTCGCGAGCCGCCGATGTGAGACGCTTCCAAGCCGGGACGGATGAGGATCTAATTGCCACCTCTACCGGTGGGCGTCGGAAGGTGGGGGTGAGCTTAGTTTAGCCAGCCCCAGCGATGCGTGCATGGAGGCGGCCTGCCTGTCAACACTGGAGCCTCGTGGTGAGGTGGAGGGACCGGGAAAGAGGAGGGCCATGAACTCAACACCGCCCCGTGTGACGTTTATGTATCCGCTGGAAAGTCGGACCGTTTAAAATCCACACGTCCAGATTCAGTCACTCCGCATGAACCAGAGGAGTCGGCAGTGTGACAGAAAAAAAAACCGTGTCGTGTCAAGTTGGGCTACAACTTGGGTTTGACAATCAAATTGTCTTAATAAATGAGAAAGTTGTTGACCAGGTTCTCGTGCTTCTGCCACACGGTGGCGCCAAACCACAGCAACGAGCTGGTTGGAAGGCAGGCCGGAAGTAGAGTTGAGTCATCCCAGCATTGTTTGGACAGACACTAAAACAGAAGCTCTTCATTTCCTCTTACACTAGACACACATTTTCCTCGTTATCAAATACTTGCTAAAGTGCCTGAAATGTTACCTGCTTTTGCCGCTATGAGTAGTAGGTACTACAGAGTACTAGAAATGGTACTTTTTCCCAGTGAGAGATAAGATAACCTTTATTTTCTTATATATTATTTTTTATGATCTTATTTTATAAGATCAACTTGCTACTAACACCTTTGCATCGGCAAAAGCAGACACTCGAAAGTGTGTCTGTCCAAGTAGTGAGTTGCCACTGCGGCATTTCCATTGGCAAAAGCCAGAGACGACGAGGCTGTCCAGACCGCTCGTTCCATTCACTGAGGTTGGGTTTAATAGAAAAGCAAGAATATAAAGCACAAGGCTTGTCGGCAGAGATCACGTTTGACACCGACGTTTGGTCTCTGCCTTTAGCTGCCTGAATAGCGTCAATCACCTGCATGAGTACACGTCTGAATATACGCGGAGGCTTGACAAGCGAGTCCGAAGAGGTGGGTGAAACATTTGAATGTGGCTATACAAATATGTTGCTATGACTTATAAAGGCAAGGTTAGTTTTCACTTTCCAGTAACATAAATTAGATATTGACTGCAGTTCTTTAAATGTGGCCAGATAACTGTCAAGCGCTCTCTTATTTTTTTCCCCCCAAAATGCACCTAGAATGTATTTACAGCGCTAGACTTTTTCCACATTGTTTACGTTCTATTCTACACACAACACATCATCATGGCGTGAAAGAAGTTGTTTTTCATTTCTTTTTCAAAGTTAGCCCAAACTGAAACAAAGACATTTGATTAAAAAGTCAGCCAATTCATTTTGACTCCACTTGTGTCATACCAAAACAAAAAGTTAATAGAAGTTCTTTCATTGAAAATGTTGTGGGTAGATCCACATTTTGAGTCTTGATCCAGTTTTGTCCTTGGATCCTACCAAAGTTTTTAACATTTTTGAAAAGTTCCTAAAAGTCTGTTTAGAATAATACCTTATTGCAAAAGTATTTATTTTTGCTGAATTTGAAATCGTCTAATATATATATACTGTATGTATATAGAGAGAGAGAGAGAGGTTGTAATTATGAGACGAACCGTAATAAAATGTGAAAAAAGTAAAACGCTATGAATCCTTTCTAGATGCGTGGCATATATACATTCATATACAAACATGTCCCAGGTCTTGAAGGATGGTCTTCTTGTGACATCCCACTTGCTTTGCAAAAGGAGCATAAAACGCAGCAGAGATGGAGTCCCTTTGAAATGAGGCGGCTTTTCTTTCCTCTCCAAGAGGTGGCGTTTTGGGCGGCGTTCTGAGCGGCAAGCTGCGCCTGGGTGGCTAGGGGCCGCTGTTCCGGGGCAGGCTGATCATCCTGGGCGGATGAACCGGGAAGGCGTACGGGTTCAGGGGATCTTTGGGCCTCTGCGTGCGGAGGGGAAAAGTGCACAAGCAGATCCATTTCAACTCTTGAATCTTTCTTTAGGCAGCAACGTGAACTGCCAGTTACTCATGACTACCGCCACCTTTGAGCCACAGAGTCACGAAAGCAGCAGCGTGAGTTTTGGCTGTTTGTTTTACTCACCTGGGCTTGACCGTTCCAGCAGAAGAAGGTCGACTGCGACGCTCCGTTTTCAGCGTGACGTTCCGGTCGGGACGCTCCTGTTTCGCACATGTCGCCGAGGGCGGGAAGCTGCGTCTGGCAGGCCGCTGCGGCGGGGGGCCGTGCTTCTTCGACCGCGTGCGGCAGGGCGAAGCCTGCGCTCGGAGCGCTGACGTGGGCTAGTCCCATATACGGGGGCCCCTGGGGGAGACCGGGGCCAGAATTTGCCAAGTGTTCATACATGCAGCTGCCAGAAAACTGCGGGCCGGTTGCGTCCGTGCGGGGGCAGGGCCACGAGGCCTGTTGGGAGGGATTCGAGTGGGCACCCGCTAGATCGGTGTTGGAGGTCACCGTTGAAGGTCGCCAAGCCGTCTCAAAACGGCAGGAGCGGGAGGGAATGCCGTGGCGGAAAGGCGTGTCGCTCGCAGGCCAGTGTCCAAGATGAGAGTTGGAAGGGGGTTCCGCACCAGAAAACAACACGCCCGAAAGAACTTCTGGCCCAAACTCGAACAACCTGGCAGAGTCAGGGGAAGCCTGAAGAGAGCTTTCGCCTCCTGCGGTTTTTAATCCGAGGGCCTCCTCCACATAGGCAAAGACATCGCTGGCCAGGATGTGATCCAAGTCTCGGTTCTGGTTCATCCTGAGCAGCGTGTTCTCCCACTCCCTCAGCTCGCGTTGCTCTACCTCCAGATCGTCCAGGCCACCATCACCCAGGTCTCCCAGGATCTGCTCCAGCGAGTCCAGCATGGAGTGCGACGTAGAGCCGCACGTCTCTTCCAGCTGACCCGGAACGCTGAGCAGCGCGTGGCTGTCCGAGAAGGCTCGCTCCAGAGGCTGCTCCGGGTCGCTTTCGTCTACTTGGGAGAAGTCGGTGAGTCGGGGGGCGGGATCCTGGGAATAAAGCGAGCGGTCTTGCCGGTGTAAGGATCCTAAGATGGAACTGGGATCCAGAGGACTTTCTCCCAGGGGCCCCTTGGTGCCGGTCGGGGCCGGGATGGTGAAGGCATTCAGGGAAAGGTCATACAGGACGCCTTCTCCCGTGGCTAAGTTGAAGGGCAGTTGCTGTCTTCTCTGCTGGAGGTGCTCCTCTCCCTCTTCATTCCTGCGAGGCAGTTTGGCATTTTTCATTCAAGCGCATCCAATATGAAAATGATCTTAGATCTCTCGGCCGGGCCCCGATCGTGATCAAAAGCCCCGCACCAAACGAGAACCTCATGCACACCTTTTTGAATTAGGACCTGGATCGAGATTCGACATCTGGTTCTGGCCCAGGTTTAAACGTTTAAATATTTTGTCTTGGGACACCAAACTCACTCGAAATCAGTTGACAACTTCAGATGTGTAAGCGTGACAAAGACGATCCAGATCGACTTTGTACATACGGATGCAAGTCTCGAATCCGTGTCACCTTCAAAAGATTGCCATTCGGTCCTTTTCGGGGGAAAGCGAATGGCGCTCCGCAATTGTTGAAGGTTGCTTACGTTAGCGGCTTCTGACGGGCGATGATGAAGTCAGGCCGTCCGTCTTTGAAGACCACGCGGGCGGTGGCTTGTACCCACAACCACTGTCCCGTCTTGGTGAGCAGCCGGAAGAAAGTGAAGCCGCTGTCTCCTGTCTTGATCACTGCGGCCGCAGGAAGAAGGGAACAAATTAGATCGCAAGTCAAGTCGGGAATTCGTCTCGAGGCGGAGACTCGGCGACATACTCCTGAGGTGGTTGTCGGCGCAGTACATCATGTCGGCGGCGTGAACGAACTGATAGCCGGAACCCGGGGTGATCAGCTCGGTTTCAGAGTAACCCAACACCAGTTTGCCCCTGACAAGAACACCAATGCGGATTCATGGCAATACAATTCAAAAATTGAAAGTGGAAAACAATAAAAAACAAAAACCACACGTTCTACTTTGTTGTCATGCCATTGGCGATTGAATGAAATTGTTCATCCCAGCTCGTAAGTCAGGGCGGCGCCGGATTTGACGCATCAGGTCCCGGTACCTGGTGTCCACGGCCATGGGGGCAAAGTCCATCCGGTGTTTGGTCTGGAAAATGAGAGTCCTTGTGCGGATCTCCATGACGGGCGGCGGCTGCAGAGGCGTGGCCACGGCGAACAGGGCCAACAGAGGATTCCCCTCGGGGCCGCCGTCCTCCCGCAGGTACTTCAGATGGCCGGAGAATTTTAAAGCCTGCAGGAGGAAAGTCACGCCAACATGAGCGTTTTGCACAAAAGGTCATTTGAGGCGGGGTCGAGTCAACACCGGTGCGGGGACTCGGACGTGAGTGGCGTCGCTACGTCAACAGCGAGTCAACATAGCATGGCCACACAGTGTCGAGTGAGCTTCACTCCTACCAACCGCAGGGGCCAAATTGGAGCATTTTTCTCTTCTTCCACTCACAAGAGGCGAGGGCCCGATTGGTGGATTAAGATGAAGCCCAAATGATAATCCTGTGGCCTGGGCTGCGTCATGCCCCACCCCCAAAACTGGAAATGTCTGCCTTGAGATACGAGTGGAATTCGTACACATTCTTAAATAAAATGCAAAAACATAAAGCTATTTTGCCCCATTTTTTGCTTCAATCAAACCAACCAACAAAAAAAAAAAACGTGCTGCTCATTCTTGTTTGCGTGCCTTCGCCACCAGGGGGCAGCGTGAAACGCATGAAGCCGATCAAGCTCAGAAAGATGCAGCATGTCGGAGTAATACTCATCTCGACTTATCTCGTCGTTCGTAGTAGAGGGTAAACAATACACAGCGGTGACGATTATTTGTCTACATGGTTTACTCTACCGTTTGTGTCCAAATTGTTTCAATAGCAATGCAATTACCATATGTTAGCCTGTTTTGGTGTCGGAACTTTCAGCTCCTTGTTTGAGAAAAGCAAGTTGGCCAAAATCTACTCAAACTCGGAATAGCTGGACGTGGGAAATCCATAAATTATAGAGACGGTCAAAATGTGCAAGCTATCAAGCGTTTTAAGTTCCTCCTGTAATTCTGGCCAATAGAACAAACTTTTTGTGAGTAGTGTATCAGTCACCAGGAATCCGGAGGTGTTGTCCAGAAGGCAGCGCAGGCGACAGCAGAAGTTCCTCTCCAGGAAGAAGGAGTTCTCCGGAGGCAGGAGACTGAACGAGCTGTTCTTTGTCACTTTTACGGCAAAGCAGCGAAAATGTCATCATCATCATCATCGTCATCATCATCGTCATCATCATCGGGTTTCCTCCGAACTTACAGGCGTCCGCTCCGGTCTCGCCGAGGTGGACGCCGAGCTTCAGCTGGCAGTTGAACAGCTCTCTGTCGTCGATGTGGATCAGGTCAAAGACGCTCTGCTGCACCATGTCAGACTGAGAAGGACACCAAGACAACGACATGAATGTCCATCTATCCATGCAGGGACGGCGCAGTTGGAAAAGGGGCAAAAGAAGGCAAGTCTGACCTGATGGAAGCCGAGGAAGTCCTGGATCGTGGGCGACGTGTAGAAGATGGTGCCGTCGCCCGTCACCACCAAGACGAAGCCGTTGAGCGACTGCGGAAGAGGCGGCAAAGCCGATTAGCGCAGACAACGGCGGGGATAACGCACCCGTCGTAGCGACGGCCTCGCACCTTGAGGAGGAACTCGCCCTCAGAGAAGCCGACGCCGTCCAGCGACACCGACCGCCCGTCGCTGTTGGGGGGACGGAGCGCCACGCATTTCCTGTGCTGCGCTGCAAAGAAAGTCAGACGTTTAAAATGGATTTTGTCGCCGTGGAACCCTGCACCTCTGCGCCGTGAGGCCAACGTGAGAAGCAGTCGCCCACCGCGCCGCCCGCATCTGATTAGTCGGACAGATTTTTGGACTTTTGTCATGGAGCGTTCACTTTTTCATAGTCGGTGCTTAATGGGCTCTCGCTCAAAACACGGCCGTGCGTCTTCCAGTCAATGTCATGCTGGTTTCACATATGTGCTACTAGGATAGCCTATCTGCAGCTAGGCTCTAAATGGATAAACGTTGCCTCTCCTGAGGGCTCGGCCCCACCGTCCATAAAATCTCGTGAGGCCCCTCGGGCGTTCACTGTAAATAAGAATTAGCAAAAGTATTCCAGTAGTTGGGAAGCTGAGGGATGTTTTTGCCGCTCGGGACAAATGAGACTGGCTAGTTCAAGGAAAGGACCTCTTTGAGGGTTAATCTAATCTCCCGTCGGTTCAACAATGACTCCTTTTCCCTTACGGTAATGACTGTATGGCACGCAAGGCAGCTTCCTCATCCCCCCCCACCCCCCCTCCTCCCGCTCGCTGCGCCTGGCTTTTCAAAACAAACCCGCTTGATCGGCCGCTCATCTCGAGAAGCGGGCGTCACGTGACCGCAAGAATCCTCCCGTTTGTTATTGTAGCAGGAGCCCGCTCGGGGACGGCTTCCAACTCCCGAGTTCATCTTTCAGGGCTTTGACCGATTCGCCTCAGACGCCGATCCGAAGTCCGCGCCCTCCAAGCAGCGCCTCCATAATTCATGGAGCGCAGCCCAGTTCTGCCACGGCGAAAAGGCATTCACTTTAAGCTCTCGATGCAAAAACTTGACCGCATGTGCGCTCCTGCTACCGGGAGTCTCTTTCAAGCAGAGATGGTGCACATCGGAGGCGTGGTTTTGATTGCGAGCGTGCACTAATCAACTATCGAAGAACTTTACAATCGATTATTCTCGCAATTATGACATCATTTAACCAAACACAATCGGATCAAATTTGATTAGCATTTTTCTGTTGATGATCCAATTATTGTTTATCGATAAAAAAAAAACTATGCAACGATTAAAGAATATCACACAAAAGGGACTAACGTCCTTGGCAGCATTTATGAAACGGATTCAGTTTCTGGCGTTTTCCAAAGTAAAAGCAGATGCTTGCAAATGGCCTGCTTTGACTAAACACAAAAGAATGACTCGAAAAATGAATGAAGAATTACTGTACAGTTGAGAGGAGGTCAGGAGGGCAAATTTAAGTAGGGAAAAAAGGGGCTTTAAATGGTTACTTGAGTATTAAAATCATTGCCTATTAATTTGATTATAGATTAGATGTGAATCAAAGTGCAAACAATACACAATACAAATTGAAAAAAATTTTTTTGAATTACAATATGCAAATGTTCAACATCAACAAAATACATTGAAAATAAATACTAAAAATGAAATGAAAAATAGAAACAATGAAAATGAATTAGCAAAAATTGTCACTACATACCGGCCGGATTTTGGGGGGGAAAAAAAATGTAGGAACGAATGAATGTCAATCTAAAAAAATAGACAATTAAAATAAAAAAAACACCATTCGTGGGTCCTCTATGACCACGTTTGTTTTCTCGTCTTCGCATTTGCGGAAAGCTCCGCAGATTCTTCACAAAACATCGCGTCAGACGGAAAAGAAGCGCTCGCGAGGCTTCAGGCACAAACAGTGTCCAGATTGGCACTTTCTTGATCCCATGTGGGAAATTACAAGAAGCTCTTATCAGGCTGGAATGAGTTGGAAAGCGCTGGCATACAAGGCGCCACGCCGAACCTACTGTGGAAGTAACTCTTGACTTTGAGGTATCCCACGCTGAGCCGCAGCACCGACAGCTTGTCCAGGCGGTTGCGGACCTCCTCGGAGAACGGCAGCAGCCCGGTCAGGCGCTCCAGCTCCACATTGAGGCGGTCCCGATGCCGCTTGGACGGGTTGGTCTTCACGGGCGGAGGCGCGGCACTGGACAACAACAACACGAGGGGTTCAGTGGGACCAAAACCACACATCTTCCTTCCTTCCACATGGAAAGATGAACCAGGCTATTTAATGACAGAGTCAGCGTCACTCCAAATTACAGTGCAATACTGTGGTCCTCTGCTTTAGTGCAGTCATTGAAGCAATCTTTTTTTTGGGGGGGGGGGGAATGGGTTTTTAGAGTAATGTAGACAGGCAACTCCAAATTAAGAACTGTGTGCCTTCAGTGTAGTGCCAAAAAGAGAAGATATGCCAGTGAGTGTGTTTGAATGTGTTCCTAACACGTGGAAAGAGTAAAACTATACACGTATCTTACCTATAACCCTCGCTATTCACTGAAAAAACTGGCTTTTGTGTTTAAACCAGAGTAACACGAGAAGTCCTTTGCCACCACCCTTGTGCCAAGGAGCTACGTTGACGTGAGTTGGAGGCATTCATGTGGACAAAAGTAAAGCATTGTCACCACCTTGGTGCCAGGGAACTATGTCGAATGAGCGGAGCCTTTGACAAAAGTAGTGCTTTACCACTCTCTTGGTACCAAGGAATTCATGTTGAACTGAGATAAGGAGTTGCACTTAGATAACAATGGTGCTTTGCCAGATCTAAGGGCCAAGCACCTGCATTGGAGTTGAGGAGCTTCATTTCAACCAAAGTACTGCTTTGCCAACATCTTGGTGACAAGGAACCAAATTGGAGCTGAGGGCCTTCGTGTTGACAAAACTAGTGATTTGCCACCAGGTAATGGCATCAACAGGCAATTAGTACCCTCCTTGGGAGGACGTCAATTACTCGTGGAAAGGCTTGGTCCTTAGGACGCGGTTCATTGTATTGAATGCAGTGGATTCAATTAAACAGCCTGCCCAGCCAGTTAAGTAAAGGGGGGCTAGAGACACGACTGATGCTGGTCCCTATCAACGACCTCAATGAAAACCCATCGGAGACTGCAATGACACGTCAGGGTTTGGGAAACTCCCTAATGCCCCCCCCCCCCCGAGCAAAATGCAAAATAAAAAAAGGGTTATGTCCAGCAGGTTTGATCTAATTTATTTCATAAAAAATATCTTTCATTCTTCATTGTCCTGTTTTTTTTTTCTTTTTGGGAGAGGCAGGCACCCCGTGTCCCTTATTGCGAAACACGGACAAAGCTGACCACATTGTGGTTATGACGCCAACGTTACAATAACTGTGGCACGATGACGTAGCTGACTTGTTGATGGACGACGTCGAAAGAAAACACTTCTTAGAAGTCAGCGAGTGACTACGCAAGTGTAAAGAGTGCGGATTTGAGCACGTACTTCTTCTGAATGGGCTTTTTCCTCCTCTTCACCGCGTAGACGCCAACATTTCCCTGCATGGTGGCGCTCGGGTTAGTTACAGTTGAGGTTCACTTTACTTCAACGGGAGGAAGGCAACTAGTGTCCTCCGAAGTCGCATTTAACACCGATATCCGGATTCCTCGACGCCTCCGGAAGCGGATTTTCATCAGCGGCGTCTCCACTTTGATATGTAATCCTAACTACTCGACGCGAGCCGAGGCAAAGAACATTCACAAGCGCATATCAAAAAAAAAAAATCTCGCAAGTTTTCCAGTAGACTTGGTCTTGAGTGGGCGACAGCCTCTTTTCCGCTTCGGCCAATCACGGCGCCCGATACAGGAGCAGCCGTCTAAGTCGCGCGTTGTCGTTGGAGCAAACTTTCCCCTTTGTTTCGTTCCAAATCAACAATCGCCAAATGGACTTTTTCAGTACCGTTGTACATGCTCTAAACGCAAAACTAATCCACCGCTTAATTGTATTTTTGAGGTGAGAGTGTTGAGCTAGAGTTGTACGACAGTGACGCCGCTTCCTGTGACCTGGGTTTGGCTTCCTACGACATCGCCCCCCAGCGGTAGTGGGCATTAATGGCAGGGACGCTGCGATCCCAATCCATCCATCCGAGAGCCGCTTTATCAACACGAGGGTCGCGGACATGCTGGAGCCTCTCCCAGCTGACTTTGGGCGGTAGGCGAGGGACACCCTGAACCGGTTGCCGGTCAAACAACAACCATTCACACCTAGCGACAATATAGGGCGGTGTTGTGCGAATTTAAGTCCAAACGCGCGCCTTAGTCTTATCACTAACCAAAGTCAACCAAGTGGTATGCACAATTACAGGAAATAATTCGAAGAAAACACCCCTTGAGCCAAACAGCATATGTACTAAGTCAAAGTAGTGCCCTGCGATTGGCTGGCAACCAGTTGAGGGTGTCCCCCACCTACTGCCCGAAGACACCTGGGATAGACTTTAGCACGCCCCGCGACTCTTGTGAGGAGTAGCGGATCAGAAAATGGATGGATGGATGGATGGATGGATGGACAACGTCAAAGTATTTGGAACGCAAGAACAAACGACAAATTCAAAACAAGTGTCCAGTTGTCTTAACTTTGGCGCATTTGGACATTATGCTGCACGTCAATGCAATAAAGTTGCCAGACGCGAGAATGAGGAAACCAAGTGACGCCATGAGCTGACTGCGCTTCACGGCTGGCGATTCTCAAGTGACCTTTTGAGCTTACACGTGCCTTATGCATTGACCCAGAGCCTCTCTTTCTCTCTCTCTCTCACACACACACACACACACACACACACACACACACACACACACACACACACACACACACACACACACAAAACCCTCAAGTGTAGTCTCTTTTTGCTCTCCAAAGGAGGAAATGAAAGTGCAGAGATGGCTTCTGGGCCTGCGCCAGTGGCAGCTGTTGTCAAGCCAGTGAGACTTTGATTGAGGCGGGTAGGAGTTAATGAGTAACCCGGCAGAGGTGCAACCCTCAGCAGTCAAGTCACAAGAAGCAGCAAAGATCACTGCTTGCCAATTTTAGTTTTGGATATTAACCCGCAAGTGGCGTCACGATGGTGAGTGCTCAGTTATTTTTGTCCCCCTTTCCCCCCTCCACCCTTCTTCTTTCTGGCCCTTTTCCTTTCCTGTGAGTGTTTTGACAGTGTCGAGGCTCGGTGGATGACGCCCAGCTGTGGGAGAAGTTAAGAGTTTTCTTTTAGCTTGTGCTGTTCACCGATGGATTAGGTTGACTCAAAAGCCCAACACTACCGTTGTGAAGCAGGAAGTGTGAAGACACTCTGACTTAATCATGCCGTAAAGTTGCTACTGATAAAAACAAGAAGGTTCCGGGTTTGTAATGCAAGTCCATGAAATTGCCTTCAATACACCCGCCCTAAAAAAAAAAAAAAAAAAGATATATTCGGGTATTTGAAGACTCTTAAATTGTCTGCTCATGTCAAAAAGTACAATTTCTTTGATTTTTCTTTGCTTCTGCCAACAAAGACATCCAATTCTTTCATGTTTCTGGAAATAGCCTAGGTCAGTCTATTGCAGTGAGGAAGAGGGGACACGGGGCTACACGGACTTTGTCTTTAATATGATCAAAAACGCTATTCATTCGACTGACTATTTAAATGGTTTAGAAAAAACATGTTAAGCTCACTTGAAAACGTGCCTTTGGCGTTTTGGCGAAAATCCGAGTGCTTGGTCGGTCAATGGAGGCCGCAGCCTCTGGTGCCCATCACTAAATTGTCTCGGGTGTTTACGAACGGCATACCTTTTAATGTAATCAAACGCAGTATTTTTCCAAAATACATGCGCTTCCTTGTAGAACTCTTGATTACAAAAATACACGTTACTTTCATGACGGTCTAATTTGTCTGTGATGTTTCGGGAAAAGACACATGGCGACTAAATAGTCTTCAGGTCAATCTGTTTCACAAAATTGCTTCGAATGCGTAGCAAAACTCTTCCAGCATATTTGTTGCATGACAGACTAAACCATCCTCGGTTTCCTAAAGAATATGTCATCTTTTATGTTGACAAAACCATCTATCCGTATCATTGAAAGATCACATCGCCAGTTTCTAAACTGTTGATGTTTACAAAGCCACACGTGCGACTCATTCATTTGAATTGTCCAGAAGTCTAAATGTTGCTTTAAAAAAATATATAAATCGGTTTGTTTCGTTTGTTTGCTCATAAAACGAGCATCACGCTTGGTGCATTTTTTGCTTCATGAAAGCATGACTGCGGATGCTACGGTAAACGATGACTTCTCGGCCATGTTTGGTTGCTTGCTATGGTGCCAAAGTAATGATTGTGTCCAAGAAGATTGCACATCCCTGTGAAAATGGACGAAAAATCCCATATCCCCCACCGCGTAGCTCCGCCCCTCTGGATGAGATCACATTTCTGGCTCCGTGTGTCTGGCCATCCTGGTGAGGTCATCCCAAATGAAAGAGCAAAAGGACAGCTAAGCTTGGACTTTGGTTGAAGTCGTCAAAGGCCAAATCTTGAGCGTATTTGGAAAGATACATTGCATCCATTGAAGAATGCGGAAAAACGAGATTAGATACGAGACTAAAATGTCTTTGAAAACCAGTGTTAGGTTTCTTCAAAGTGAAAACACACCAGGTTCTGCTTAGACTAAATAGTCTGTGATGTTTTCGAAAGCCAGTTAATTAGTTTTGTGGACACCCCCCGCAGGCCGACTCGAACGTCCCATCGTCCGGCTCCGCTTCTAAGCTGGAGCATGTGCAAGGTCAAGTGAACGAGGTGAAGGTCATCCTGAAGGACAACATCGACAAGGTTTTGGAGCGAGGAGACCGGCTGGACGACCTGATCGGCAAGACCGGAGACCTGCAGGCCTCTGTGAGTTTTGGACATTTGGCGTCAGGCGAGTTCTTTCGGGCGAAATCGACTTTTTTTTTGTCTTTGGTACTGAGAGTTCCTGAAAACTTTCGGGTCGGGTCTGCAACTCGGAACACAGCTGACTGAAACGTTCCAAATAGAAATGCTGTCTGGAGCGCATGCATGTCTCCCATATGAAGGGCTTATTCATGTGGGGCAAAAGAAGATCCCGCTTAGTTTTTAATGTAGCTGACCTCCAAGACGGGAGCAGTGCTGGAGCGGGGAGGTGCTGAACTGGAGCAGGACTGGAGTCGTTTTCACCGGGAGCAGGATTTATCTCACTATGGCCAGGCACTGGGACAGGATTGTTTTCCGTGGGAGCGGGATGGGACGCTATTCTCGACCCCACCCCAAACGTTTCTGGAACTCCCAAAAAGAGCCTCCTCGCAGGATATTCTTTTGGCTGCGGGAGAAGAACAGATCAATGTTGGTACTTCAAAAGCGACGTGGTAAAAGTCAAACCATGTGCTTTGGTTTCCTAAAGTGGACCAAAATGCACATTTGTAAAAGTTTGTTTCAAATGCGGCCGGCCATTTTGATGACATTGACGTTGCTGCTTGCAGGCCGACTCGTTCCAGAGAACCTCCACGCGGGTGGCCAGGAAGTACTGGTGGAGAAACATCAAAATGCTCGTCATCATTGGCGTGATCGTGCTGATCGTCCTCATCCTCATCATCCTGGCTGCCACCAAAGTGATCTAATCGGTGCACGCGGCCATTTTGGATGAATTGAAAGGGAACGAGGGGAAGCCTGTTTGAGAAGAATTGAGCAATTATTCAAGAGCCTGCATATGCAGCTGGAGGTCCATGTACGTGTATGCTTTCTTTTTTTTTTTTTGGGGGTGGCGGGTCCTCACGAGCAAGACAATCCGGTACACACGCAACCGACTTCTGCATTCAGCAAAACAAGTGAAAACACTTCCTTCCGGCACACAAAAATGGCGAAAGCCTGGTGAGGCCGACCTGAACAAAAATGAACGTAAAAGAAGTGATGGTGCAAACGTCTTGCTCTAACGTAGTGCATTAGCTCAAAAAAGAATACTCATCTGAATAGTGACATTAAGAATGGAAGCCAATGCGGTTACATGAATCGGACCTTTTATTGAACATGAGCTGATCAAAACAATACACTGCAATCATTTGCACTCTCAGTGCAATGTGCTGCGCAAATCAAGTGTCAAAACACACTGTCAACCCCATTCCTTCCTGACTGTCTCACAAAGTCTTTTTGTTTTTTTAACCCAAAACTTTTAGACATGGGCCTTTAAGCTTGTCGGCGCCGATTTCTGTGCTCCCGCCATGTTCTGATTGGATCTCGCGGGACGGGAGAAGTCACATGAATTGATTGGGGGGGGGGGGGCATTTTAAAAGGATCGATTTATGAATCAATATCAGGCTTTGAAAAGGAAAATGATTCGATTAATTTTTTTTTTTTTTGGCCTGCCCTAATTACTAGTACGACACAGTCTTACGAGCTAACTATTCAGCACTGCCTCTCACTCGTGATTTCTTTGGGGACCATGTTCAGCCTACAAAAGTATGTCATTAGACCATACTAGTAAACTTCTGTGCTAGTAACACTGCAAGGCCCAAGGAGTAGGCAGGGCACATGCTAGCAGCCTCCTTGGCCCCACCCCCCACCCCTCCAAAAAAGCCACAAGTCATTTGGCCACAAATTGTCCTACTGTGTGTTGAAATGTCATCACAGTCATGGGGGGGGGGGGGGGGTTACAAGTAAGACAGAATTCCAAAGACCACGTACTACGATGTTCTCTGGCTGCACTTGTTACTTAAGGACACGAAGGACAAAGCGTAGACTAGTCCATGGACCTCAAGCTGGATATGGAATAAATGCTCATAGAAATTGTTGGCATCACACTCCTGCTGCCTCTGTGCCATGTTGACCCACAAAAATATCCCCCACCCCCCAAAAATAATCATTTTATTGTTTCATCACGCTTACATTGAATACATTTTGTGTGTGTGTGTATATACGAATGTTGTATAGGGCTAATGAACAGAATGTGATAAATGTGCATCTGCATTTGTAAATAAGTGTCTACCTAATCATAAAGCCTTTAAAAAAAAAAAAAAAAAAAAAAAAAAAACGGAGAAAGGGACTCAAACTCCTTTAAATGCAGGCAAAAATCAAACCGGGGCGGAAAAAAGTGTCAGATCCAGGGAACACTCCAGAAAATAAAGAGTAAATATGGGCTCTTCAGTTTGTTTTTTTTTTCTTACAATCGGCAACGAGCGCGTGGTGGCCTCTCCGCCGCCCGTCAGCCGCCATCCTCTTGCCCCGCCACACCTGAGAAAAGAAGCGCACACGTCAGAGCCGGCGCACAGCACAGCCTAACAGGAATCCCCCGTGTGTCAAAAAGTCAATAAAAGTAATTGATATATTAACATTAAAACACGTTAAATAGAAAAGCAATCTTGAGGACGACTAGAAGAAAAATTGGTCATTACAAAAAAAAATCCAAAAGGGAAACACTGCGTGCAAATGTCTGTCAATGTGGCAATTCTTGTGGCTTTACATTGGATACGTCTACTTTTACAGAAAAGTTACAGAAAGTCAGTAAGACAGAGGAGAAGACATGTCGAAGAAAGCAAACGTGATCCCCCAACACAATGGCGGCGTCCAGAGAAGCTGTTAGCTCATGGACAAGAGACAAAAGCATCAGGAGTGCAGAAAGATTAACAACTGCTTGGCCGTAGTACCCTTTGGAGAGCAAATACTTAATTCCAAATAATCATTACTTGTGGTGGGGGCCTGTAAAAAAATGACGGAAATTTAACCACATACAGCGGCGCCTCGAGATAACGGGTTTCATTCATTCCTTGACCATGCTTGTATCGTGAATCGGCGTGCCCCACCGAAATACATTCCGGACACCCCGGCCAACCAAAAGAAAAACCCAACGCAAATTTTTGCAAACTTTAGCGCTTTATAATGCACACAGTCGTAACAATGACATTGAAATCGTTTCTGCCACTTTTTTTTCCTTCAATTCAATTGATATTGTGCTGCTCCTGGTGCATGCCACTTGAGTATAATATGAACGTATGGATACAATGGACCCCCCAGATAATTACTTTTTTTTTTTTTGGGGGGGAGACCCCATTTTGTCAACAATTATTGAAGTCCCCCCCCCACCCCAAAGCCTTTATAATAGGTGCCAATGAATAGTGGATTTTTGCTTTTCAAAGGCCGACCCGGTCCCTATCCGCCCTGAATAAATAAGTGGCGTGCGTCCAAGGGATACCTCGACATGGTCACTCCTCAGTAAGCAGCAAGAATAGGCGTCATTCTTAACAAAGGATAAAGTACAAATAGCAGTATCGTGTCGTTATATTATCTGTCTACATGTGTTGCTCCAGCACTGTGGTCAACTCTCCATTGGTTGAAAGATGATGTCACCACCACACATGCAGGTCGTTCGCTTGACGGGGGTATTTTAGACTGTTAGCATGAAGCTAAACATACTAGTTCGCCAAAGCTGAATGTATGTGGTTCTCTTTTATGTTTTGTTTGGAAATCAACGTCATCTGGGAGTGGCAATAAACAGCTCAAAAATGTTTTTTTTTTTTTTTAAATAACCGGAAAATGGGCCAATCATCTGCGCCGTCACTCGTATCTCGAGGCACCACTGTACATCTTTCTCAAACAACTCAAAAACGAGATGAAGCAAAATTGGAGGAAAAAAATGGCAACATCGTATCCCATTTTTTTTTTTTGGTTTTGTTGCTGTTTTCATTTTGAGTTGATATACAGGATGTTGTGAGACCATACCAAACGGCAGCAAGCGAGAGCGTATGCGTCTCGTACCCGGTCCGCATTGAGCGGGCCCTGAGAGTATCTGGAGTCAGCTCATGGCCTGCAAGGAAGCTCCGCTGGCAGGTACAAACAAGGTATGTCAGAGTTAGGAAAGACATCATACTTCCTCTTTTTTTTTTCTTTCGCTTTTCCGTGAACTGTACATCCATTACTGCAGTAGTAGTAGTAGTAGTAGTAGTAGTAGTAGTAGTGGTTTACCTGTTAACGTTACAGTTAAAAAAAGAAGAGACCAAAACAAACAAGGTGCAAAGGAGGCTGCAGGTGTTAAAATAATCGCCCCCGTGTAGCCTCTACGTTACCAAAAGGAAAATATCAATGACAACATAATATTATCAAACAGTTTAATCAACAGGACTACTTTTTACGTCTTACGGGAAGTGCGGGCGTGTTGGAGCGGACATACCTACTTGTGTCCTTTGAGGGGACCCCGAGCGCTTTAGTACGGTCGGTAACTGTTGCTGTGAACGGGGCGCCGCGGGGACTTGCCGTAGCCGACCGGCTCATCTACAGATGAGGGCACAAAACCACAAAACAATAATAACAAGAGTAAAACCAAAACAAGAAGCAAAAACAGTTCCAAATCAGCACATATTTAACAAATTCAAGTCTTTTTTTCCCCCCGTTGCGCAGCATTCTGAACATTTGAGGCCGACTTGGCTTCCAGAAGCATTTCATTCCCCCAAAAAGTCAACGTTACCGCAGAGTGAGACACCACCGCATGCGGAAATAAGTTGGGAGTCGGCAGACTGGCTAACCGTGAGCCGGTTACGAGCCAGCCGCTGACCCGAGGGTGGGGCATCCGCAAGCGGGAATCCGGTGGGGCCCCAAGTGGACAAGAACAACACCTGCAACTCGCATGCAGATTTTGTCGTTGAATAATGAAGATTATTTGATTTTTTTTTTATCTATCCAATTACTCAATGGGACACTTGGTAGAATCATCCGAGCATAACGCTATCATCTCCAGTCCGACCCCAAAATTGGCTTTCGAGTGAAATTTTAGGATGAACATCGAACGTCCGTCTACTTTCATGCTGAATTTTCACCCCAAACGTCACATAATGTCCCCATTTTGCGAGGAGTGCAAACTGACTAATAAAAAAGCAACTTCTGTAGTGTGATCGCACTTAAGTTCTAAACGGGCAATCCATCCAACAAGTGTGACATTTAATACGCAATACTCACTGGCCAGGCCCCTTTGCAACCGTTGCCGTCCCAGACGAATGCCGCAAGTCCGAAACGGCGCATTACAGACTTGGCAAAAAATAAAAAAGCGACACGTATCATGACGTAATCCAATGCAAAGCAGCACGAAAGGCTCCGTGGCAGGCGTGGGCAAATTCTGGTGGGCGCGTTTCATTTTTAAAACGCACCGAAGATGTGGGAGAGAAAAATAAATAAATATATAATGTAACACGGTGTTACAAATGTTTTTATTTTATGGTTTTAAAAATGAATGAATTAATTTTGTTACAATCAGCTAATTACACTGGTCAGCTGCAAACTTTAATCTGAAATGCTTTTAGATGTCCCTAAACGTATTTTTGGCGCAATTTTTTTCCCCCTAGCACATCAGGTTTTTGAGATATTCATTTTTGGTTTTTAGGTTTGACTTAGGAAGGCCTACGCAACATTTTTAGCGATAATTTTCCAGGAAAACAACCCACCCCCCCCCAAAAAAATTCCACCTGCTAACAGCAGGATAAAATGTTTTTCACAGTGTACTCACAAATAGGGCGAGAATTCTTGCAGGCAGGGGTACTTAATTCATAAAGATTAGCCAATACATTACAAATTATCGCAATGCAAACCTGATATGCTAGAGAAATTTTTTTTGAGAAGTTTACTTGTATCTCTGATATTAAAAAATAAAATAAAATAAATTGGTGACCAGTGCTTCATGATATAGGGTGAACATTTTTAATTGTTTTAATTAATATATTGGCATTTTACATAGTTAAATAGTATCTCACTCATGTTTTATTTTATGATTTATAATCAACTGCGGCTAGAATGGAGGGGGCCATATTCTACCCACCACTGGCCTATGAAGTCAGCATCGAAATGATTAAACGCTGCCGGACAATCAACTGAATACCTTGCGGAAAAAACAAATAAACCAAAAAAAAAAAAAAAAACAAAAAACAAAACAAACTAAACACTGTAATGTGCATGCCAGGCCAGCAGTTGGCGATGTCACTGTAAGTGCTTCACCATTAGCGTTGGCGTGTCAAAACACATTGGTGGCAAAGTCAAATTGAATTCGGCGTTCTGAACGCAAACGTCAGCAGCGCTAAAGTGCGACATTGTTTTGAGTGTGACGTCTTTTTTCAGTTAAAAAAAAAAAGTGAAATGCTGTCGTCAATAAACACGGAAGACCACGGCAGACAGACCAAGGGTGGGTGTCATAGCATGATTATGATGAACTATTTTCGCAATATTTACGATGGTGTTATCTGCTCTATCAAACATTATACAGGTGCATCTCACTAAGTGGGAAAGTCCATTGATTTCAACAGTTCAAATTCAAAAAGCAAAACTCATTGATTCACTACACACAGAGTGTAATATTTCAGGATTTTATTTTATTTTTTTTATATAATTTTGATGATTGTAGCTTACAGCTAAAAAAAAAACAAAATACACCATCTCAAGAAATTAGAATGACACAATCCAAAATGATTTTTTTATATAGAAATTAGGTAGGAATTTGCCTTGTGAAAAGAATTTATGTTGAAAAATGTTGAAACAATTTTTGAGTTTGAAATTGAACTACTGACATAAATGAACTTTTCTACAATATTCTAATTTATTGAGATGCACCTGTATAAGAAGAAAGAAGAAGAAGGGAAATCCCATCAAAACTGTCCTTCAATATTAGGTACAAAAAAAAAAAAGAAAGAAAATAAAACCAAAAATACACTCACAATGTTAATAAAACATGTTTAGATGCAGTGTTGACATTAAAGATTGACAAGAGTGACAGTGACAATATTGATATTTGATGCGGGTGTATCGATACTGTATTGTAACAGACAATACAATACATCAGGATATCCATATCCCCCCACCAACAGAGCCCCGACCCCCCCACCCCAATCCCCCACCCTCAATAAAAATATGATCTAGTTCGTTCAAACGGTCTACAGAGATCTTCACACATGGACTTACTACTGTCGCCACCGTATCCGTAATAGTTGCCGTAACCAGAGTAATCGTAGCTGCCGTATCCGCCGTAGCCTTGATTGCCGTAGCCGTAGTTGCTGTAGCCGTGATTCCAGTAGTTGCCGTAACCCTGGTTCCAGTTGGGACCGGCACCTACGATCACATCCTCGGATCACTTAACAGCCTCGGCGACACGCTCGGGACCGTTGATGGGCGTGCTCATGAAACTAGCGTGGGTACGACGTCGCGGTGTATTTGCCAAATGCCTTTTTCAGGCCAGGACTCACCGCCTCCCCTGCCTCGAGACCTGGGCGAGTAACCTCCTCTGCCTCCCCAGTACTGCTGCTGCTGGTACTGCTCCTTGGACATGGCCACCTTCACTTCACACTGCACACCACACAGTCCCCACATATCTTTTTTTTTTTTGTCCAGACACGCGTCCCGCCGCGGGTGACGGCGACTTATGGAGAAAGGCATTACCTTGCTCAGCCCAATGTTGTGGTACTTCTTCTCCATGATGGTCTTAACCGGTTCCTCCTCCTTGAACGTTATGAAGCAGAAGCCTCTCCTTTTGTTGGTTTTGCTCTCCATGGGAAGCTCGACGGCCTCCACCTGATGGGATTCAATGGAAGTATGACTGCTGTTTGATTAACAATTTAAAAAAAAAAAAAAAAAAAAAAAAGGAAGGAGGCCTGGCACGGGATACTGACCTCTCCAAAGGTGGCGAAGTACTCTCGAACTTTTTCCTCGGGAGTGTCTGGAGAGAGGCCGCCCACAAAGATCTTCTTGACCGGCTCCTTGCTCTTCATGGCCTTGGCTTTTTTGGGGTCAATGACCTTCCCGTTGAGTTTATGCTCCTTCTGCGCAGTGACCTGGGCAATGAAATCATCCATCCGGTCAGGATGAAAACAATCCTGATGAAGTTGCACGTCCAACGGGTCCTGGAGCATTAGTAATCCCACGAGGCCCAATGTGTAGTTACAGGCAAGGATGTTGGGTAACCCGCTCAGATGCCTTTGGAGCATTTATTCGATACCCTTGATATACAGCTTAAGGTCCTACTATTGGGCCAAAAGTAGCACGAAAGGGAAAAAGGACCGTTGTCCTGCTAGTCAGCTGAACTGTCGTACTACTGGGGACAAAGAACAAACAGGACGAGACAATAGACCTTAAGCTGGATATCAAGGATATCAAATAAATGCAAAAGCCGTTTAAGTGTCTATTCACAGTACATATATCAGGTAAGTACTCAAAAAGGCTTACTGGCAAGCGCTCACGACTCATGAGAACAAAGAACACAGTAGCCCATGAATCTTCCTTGGAACATCAAGGGTATCGAACCAAATGCTCGAATGGCTTTTCAAACAATGCCGTCGCGTACCTTGTCAACACTTGCGGCCTCCTTGAAGAGGACAAAGCCGAATCCCCTGGAACGGCCCGTCATGGGGTCCAGTTTCAGAGTGCAATCGATAACTTCCCCAAACTTGGAGAAGTAGTCTTTCAGGTCCTTCTTGGTCGTGTCCCAGCTGAGGCCGCCGACAAACACCTTCCTATTGGCAATGTGACCAGTACGGCGATATAACTTTTATACATTCACAGGGCACGTCATGAGGTACACAACCTAGCAAACGTGCTGCATTCCCAACAATCATTTTTTTTCAATCAAACTGCTGCTATGCTGGTGTTTTTTTAAAAAAAATTCCCAAGGTCGGTTCCCACTCTCTCACCGTCAAGAAATGGGAGGCTATCTAACATGTCTTTGAAGAAATGAAAAGCGGACGACTCGCTCTCACCGTTCTCCAAATGAGACGCAAAGCTTGCTGGCTTCATGGTGTTTATTTGTCACTCCCGTTTGTGAAGTTTATATATAACTGACAAACAAAAAAAGGATTTCACACCAAAATGTTCCAGCAAAGCATCGGATTTGCCGGTTCAATGCCAACATAACGTCTAACACCATAATGCAAATTATCGTGATTGTTATACATCTTCAAACAGCTGCTACTTTAACATTCACGGTACAGCAACAGATGCTCTGAATGTTACAACTATGAATGGTGCGTGATTGGGGACCTTCTCTGCCTCTCCTTGTTATGGAACGTGCTATTCTTCCAGTAGACCTCGGCGGTGTCCAGCATGTTGTGGTACCACTGCTACTACACTTAAGGCATACAAGTCTAAATTCAGACAAAACAAATGGCTTTAAAAAGGCGATTTAGCGGGTCACGAAAGAGCACGGGAACTCCATCTAGTTCAATTGAGCGGGAGGGTGGGTCTGAACGTTTAATCGAATTCACTGTACAGTATTTTGGCAACATTACTTGACGAGGACCAGGCACACAGCGCTTGAATTCCACTTGTTCTAGCCGTTGATACATATTTAAAACATTAAAGTCTTACCCTTCATCCTCTTCATTTTTACTGGCGTCGATCCTCGCCCCGTCGGCCTCGCCCTCAGCCAGGCCGCTGTCGACGGCCGCCGCGGCCGTCATGGGGTCGTCGGTGTAAGCCTCCCCGTCCTCCTCCATCCTCATGATGCCCACGTCTTCACTGAACTCGCAGTCGTCCGACATGTTTGTTCCTCCTTTCCCTCTTTCTTGTCGTAGTTCTTATTTGTCGCTAGGGTTGCGTCAGTAAGGAGAAGCTAGGCTATAGGCTAGCTAAAATTCCGGAGGCTCACCGCGAGGCTAGCTGGAGAGTTAGCCTCTGAAATTGGAGCATGTACTTCAGCTTGGCCGCGGGTTACACGAAATGTTGATCTAATTCGTTTTAACTGGTAATGTTTGTCGTTTATTTACTTGGCGACGGTCCTCCTTCTTCGCCCACGTCTTCTTCGCTCAAACTGCGCTTGGCTCGGTGACGAAACACGATATACCGCAGCGCCACCAGCTGGATGGGAGGCGCCATTAACCATGACGTGGACTTGATGGACACTGCTGCAGGCTCTAGCTCACGCTTTGTCGCGCAACCATGATAGTCATGCTAGCAAATTAAATATAAAAAAACAATCTAGAACGTAAAAGAACAACAACAACAACAAAAAAAAAAGGCTTTTAGCACATTTCCAATAGATTCGCGAGCTTTGGACAACCGGCGAACGTCACATACACGCCGATCTACCGGCTCGGAGAAGCTAATTACGCTAACGTTAGCTAAACTGTAATAAATAATAAATAAATAAATCAACATTAATGGCCACTGTGGCGATTCCCGCTTGCACCACTGCTCTTTTGCTGGATATCGAGGGCACAACCACTCCAATCACCTTTGTAAAGGTAGGTTTTAAAAAAAAACACAGCAAGCGATCATATTTAAGTAGCCCTTAACATATCTGCTCACTGCAGGTAGGCAGCAGGAATGTTTTGTGTTGATCAAACTATTTATTTGTAATAAAATCTCAGATTGTGGTCTCAGCTGAGTTGGTTCACTGACGGTCGTTAGACTAAACACGGGAGACTTGCATTTTTTTTTTTTTTTTATTTCACTGGAACAGTGCACGTTAATCAACACAGGAATAAACAGTGTAAATGCGCCGGACTTAGCATAAATGCCAATGATTCGGTTGCGCCCCTTCGCTGACCTGAGTAAGACTCAAATGATGGGGTTCGATTGATTCATTGAGTTGACTTCTCTCATCGGAAACGCTGCAGACTTGGCGATGATTCTGTTGATTCGCGGAGTTGGCGGACCCACTGGCGATGCTCTGACTCAAGTTAGGAAACGTTTTACCCGGATGAGTTTTATTTTTCATTTGCACTCTTTACTGCAGGATATTCTGTTTCCATACATACGGGAGCATCTGGAAGATTATCTGTCAGATCACTGGGAGGAAGATGAGTGCAAACAGGATGTTCATCTTCTCAAAAAACAGGTCAGTGAATGCATCATCCCATCAAAAAGGGGAAAAAAGCTTTCCTTTGAAAAGGTCTCCAGGTGTCACATATTATGGCAACTCCTGTGACAGATCGAAGAGGACACGAGGCAGAACCGGGCGCGTCCCGTCCACGCAGTGGACCAGACGGTGCACACGGATGAGGAAAAGGCCATCCGGGAGGTGGTGGACGACGTGCTGTGGCAGATGGCCGCCGACCGCAAGTCCACGGCGCTCAAGCGGCTCCAGGGTCACATGTGGCGAGCAGCGTACTCGTCGGGCACAATCAGAGGCGAGTAAGTGGGCTACTCAAATCGTCGGTGACTGACTTTTATCGAAGTGAAGCTTTTCACCTCACTTCAACGCAATTCCTGGACACCATGATGGCAGCAACCAACACGTAACTTTATAATAGTCTTTTTTTTTTTGTTTGTTTCAATGAGATCACAATTCATTTTAATTCAATCCTGGTTTTCCTATTCGTTTTTACTTTGTTGGTTGTTTCTACTTGTCCGGAAAGTTCCAAATGTTTGCGATACATTTGTACACAGGATCTACCAGGATGTGACGCCATCCATCCGAAGGTGGCGAGGGCACGGCCTCAAGGTCTTCATCTACTCATCGGGCAGCGTGGAAGCCCAAAAACTCCTCTTCGCACACTCGGTAGAGGGTGATGTTTTAGATGTGAGTTTTGCTTTCAAGCACCCGCCTAGAACTTTTGGAAAATTGCTGAAGTCTGTTTCATTTTGCAGCAGGGAATTTGCGAGGCATGTCATCCTGAGTGGGCCCACAAAAATGACCTACGAAGCCACGATTGAATGAAAAGTGCCACTTTGGTTTGAATCGGACATTTTGGGGCAATTTTCAAGGATACTTGAAATGCGGAGTCATTCTCCATTTTTTTCCCCCGCAATTGCTGCCAAATTTGAACCAAATATACCAGACCGTTGGACAATGCTAAATTGTAAATTTTAGTTATTGTTTGTGGTTGGGGCACATTGGCAAAATTTGATGATTCACCAGCGGAGTTTTCGTCACATTCTTAGAAAGTTACGTTTGTTCTCGTCTATATTGGCGTGTTAGTATGAGCGGTGTTTTCTCCTTCCTCAGTTATTTGACGGTCACTTTGACACAGCCGTCGGTGCCAAGGTGGACGCCAAAAGCTACGAAAGAATCGCAGAGAGGATCGGCTGTCCGCCAGGGGAAATCACCTTCCTGACGGATGTCACCCGCGGTACTGGCCAATCTTTTTCTTCTAGAATTTTTGAACAATCCAGCTGGGGACATATTGAGCAACAAGTTTTGTTGGACTAATTTACATAGTGAAGCACCACCGCATTTCTCCTGAGAGCTGGGAAAAAAAAAACGAGGCATTTATTTAAGCGACCCAAACATTGGTTGATTTTGTGGAGCGTGGCGTTCTATTTTAAACTCAATCATAAACGTCAGCGTTACAGAAGCTACACACAGTCAGATAGAAACTCGAGCAAATCTAACCACCGGTGTGTGATTGCAGAGGCCAAAGCTGCGGAGGACGCCGGCGTCAACGCGGTGGTGGTGGTGCGGCCGGGTAACATTGAACTGACGGAAGAAGAAGCAGCGCACTACCATGTCATCACGTCCTTCGGCCAGCTGCAAGTGACGGGGAGACCTTAATGGAGGCGCAAAAAAACCTCAAGTATACTAATATATATTTAAAAAAAGAAAAGGGCCCAAAGGTCTCCACCTCAGTGGTGTCAAATTTGTCAGTCTTATTTACAGTAAACGTGTTGTCGTAGTGACTCTGTTTCTCCTGATTTTCACATTGTGCATCAATTCCAAATGAAGTGTCCAATGAGCGTACAAATAAACGCCTAATCTTGCACAAAAGCTTCGTCGTCTCCAACACGGTCAGCGACCTTGTAAATAAATAGAGTATTGAAAATATTGCATGTGGACCATCTACGAAAGACTAAAACCAAGAGACTTGACCGTGGCTCATCAATCCTACTGGGACGCGGGGCATTTTTTTGTACAAAGTTGAAATGTCACTTTTTCCACATTTTCTTGTTATAGAAAATTGAATAAATATTTTCCCCTTCAAATTCTTCACAAAACAGCTAGTGATTACAGTCAGGTTGGAGGAATTTCGAGCCCAAAAACATAACTTTAAAAAAAAAATCACATTAAAAGTACATTTTGGAATATGGCTGGTGAATTGTTAATTATTGTCTAAGAAACTGCAGACAACACAATTACTTTGACTGATCTTTGCATCCTTAATCCAAATAAAAATCTGAATTTGAAAAAAAGTGAAGCGCTGTGAATACTTTCCCAATGCACGACAGCCTGACTACAAAATGGTTTCAATAGTTTTTCCCCCCCTCAATTCCACACACAACAGCAGTTTTGAAAAAGGGGGTTGTACATTTATTGAATAAAAAAAGTTAATTTTCCTTGATAAAAAAGTGAGGAAAAGGCGAAGTGAAATGATATTTTGCGGATGGACTGACATTGAATAGAATCACATCATTTTTAATAAAGCAACAAATATTTCCTTCAAAATTCTGTCATTATTGGCCTTGTGTGTGCATAATGATTAAAAAAAGGGGGTGGGGGGTGTTAAAAGACAAAATGTGGAAAAAGTGAAGCGGTAAGAATACGTTTGCGGATGCGCTGAACACTGGCATTGCATTGCTGTGCTAAAACTTGGTCCAATAAGGCAGAGGTGAAAGAATAAGGGGGAAGAGGGCGGAAAAAAGTGCGATAAGCTGATCAAAACATTGTAGGTTAATGCTAACACAGAAGATTAAAAAAAAAAAAGAAAACAGCCTAGTTCTACTCACTGAGACACCCGCAATGTTCCCTTTTTTTCTGCCTGTTGGCATTCCTCGTCATTGAAAATGATCCATCTGGATTGCATCACTTCATATAAAGTCGCGTTAAAAGCAATCAGCATGATTGGTAGTGGGGAAAAAAAATAGCCCTTAATTGATGGCCCCCGGTAGCACGAGGGCTCACACACCCAGCTTGTTGGCCTGCGTCAGCACCACCTTGAGGACAGGCATGAACGCCGAGGTCTCGCTGAAGTTGCTGCTGCTCACGATGTGCGTGTGGATGCCCAGACCCTCGGCGTAGGCGCGCGCCTCCACGCGTTGCGCCATGGTGTGCAGGCCCCCCACGATGGCGGGAGAAAGCTGCGGGGAAAGGAGATCAGTTAGCGTGGTCTTCATCCAGAGAGTGAGAGAGACTTCAGCAACACCGCCTGGAAATGAACACTCACAGTACATTGGAGGTTAATGCTAACACAGAAGATTAAAAAAAAAAAAGAAAACAGCCTAGTTCTACTCACTGAGACACCCGCAATGTTCCCTTTTTTTCTGCCTGTTGGCATTCCTCGTCATTGAAAATGATCCATCTGGATTGCATCACTTCATATAAAGTCGCGTTAAAAGCAATCAGCATGATTGGTAGTGGGGAAAAAAAATAGCCCTTAATTGATGGCCCCCGGTAGCACGAGGGCTCACACACCCAGCTTGTTGGCCTGCGTCAGCACCACCTTGAGGACAGGCATGAACGCCGAGGTCTCGCTGAAGTTGCTGCTGCTCACGATGTGCGTGTGGATGCCCAGACCCTCGGCGTAGGCGCGCGCCTCCACGCGTTGCGCCATGGTGTGCAGGCCCCCCACGATGGCGGGAGAAAGCTGCGGGGAAAGGAGATCAGTTAGCGTGGTCTTCATCCAGAGAGTGAGAGAGACTTCAGCAACACCGCCTGGAAATGAACACTCACAGTCTCTTCCCGCAGTTTGTCGTAGAGCGCCTCCAGACGCTTGTTGGCATCCTCCAGCTTCCTCCGAGTTTGCTGGAACAGTTCAAAAGAAAGAGTGTTGGCTGTCTAAAGCTGTCAAGAACAGGGTTTTTCCTGCATAAAATGTGCAAGCAGCTCCCTTTGCTTAATTTGGGGCCAATGCCGGCGAAAGCAAACGTGTAAAAATAGAAGCACTAAGCTTGAAATATGATGGTGGCCTTTTGGCACTGACCGGGTCGCTAGCAACTGCCAAGCACTTCTGGACCAGGCCCTCGAAGGTGGTCTTGAGGACCAGGTGCTCCTCTGGGATGGGCTTCTTGGCGATCTTCTCAGCGGGGATCGACTGCACGGGATGGATGCGGTCTTTCGTTAATTTCATTTATCCCGCAATGAAACATTTAAAAAAAAGGATACCCACCTGGATGGAATCGCCCGTGGGTCCCCCGGGCGCTCCCTCAGTGGGTATGCTTGGGTTGAGGGTCTGCGGCGGGATCTGCTGGAACCCCCCTTGAGGACCCGGGATGGAGCCCTGTGGCGCTCCAGAGGCTACGGGCTGGGCGTGATGGTCCGCACCCATAGGAGCCATGATGGGCGCGGTGATTGGGGCGGGCGGGGTGTAGTTCTCCGGGATCTATGAAGAAAAAGACGTCCATTCCGGAATTTATATGTATAATACAGAGGACTGTAAAGTGTTCTTCCAGAAAAGGGAGTCACCTTCTTCTTGGATGTCCTACTAAGAGATGGCGGGTCATTCCAACCGTTCTGGGGCCCTGCACATGCAAACATAACGTAACGATTCAGAAACATCCCACCATATTTGTTATTAGCTCAGAAGTCATTAACTAATTGATTGTTCATCAAATTATCAGTCCTTTGTTATCAAGTCATTGGTGATCAGGTCACTGGGTGGCACCGGTCATCAAGTTATTGGTAGTCAACCAGAGTACGAAAGACTGAAAGTGATGAAATCATTCGGTGCATGCAAGCATTCTGTACGCAAAAGAGATGCGCTGTATGTTGTTTTTTTTTTTTTTTGCTGTCTGATGCTCAAATCTAATCATTGTGTGGTCGCTCAAGCTGCCAAAAGCTACGGTGCAGTTGGTAAATTGGAAATAAATTCATCTAAATCAAAGGTGATTTTTATTTTTGTTTTAGGTTATTAGGAAAAATAACAGGAAGTGACACACAGGAAGAGCGAGGACGACGAAAGGGTGTCGCGGGAGTCTCTCGCACCGGTTTCTTTGGGGTCGAGTGTCTGCTCAAGCTCAAACTTTGTACCTGAGACTCCGCCGGGTGGAAGCGGCGGCGCAGAGGACCCAGGAGAGCCCGGCACGCCATGCTGGAAAGACGCTCCGGAAGAGGAGGAGGTGGGAAACAAAGGAGGAAAAGAGGAAGAAGAGTCGGGCAGGCACTGGGCGAGGAAGCCGGGGGGCTGAGGAGGGTAAGGGGGCTCAGAGTAGTGAAGAAGCTGACAGGCTCCAGGTGGGAAGTGCTGTACCTGGAGGTGGGCTGACATTCAACAGACGCCGTTAGTGGAGAAACAATCTGAGAAGAAGTCACAGCCACATGCTAAGATGTCAAACATTTCCGCCATGAAATGTTTTCTGGTTGAAAGGAAACAAACAAGCTGGGCATCTTCATTCCCTGATACTTTTGCAAAAGGGAAAATGACGACTACTTGTTGTTTCAGTGTTCAAATTAAAGACGTACGCTGGTATTGCTGGGAGTACATGTAGGCGGGGCCGGTGGAGGCTGCGGGGGACGAGCCGGATGGCGGCACTCCATACGAGGACTTCGGCGCTTGAGCCTGCTGGGTAAATGATGGGAAATTTTGTTCGCAGCTCAGGGTTTGACAGTACACTTACGAGGGTCAGGGGATTAGCGGGAACGATGGCGGCGACCTGCTGCTGCTCGGAGGCAGGACCCATTTGCAGAGGAGATGTGACGTTGGGCAGCGCTGTTGGCGTCTGGTTACTCCACGAGGTGACAGTGGAGGCAGACCTCACCTGAACCACACACAAGTTTTTTCCTTCCAATTAATAATCCGTAATCGGGCCAACAATCCCGGGTCGATGGCGGAACATACGGGCTGGTAATACTGCTGCTGGGACGGGGCGGAGGCGGGTGTCTGCATCTGTACAGGTGCTATGGGGGTGGCAGGCTGGACCGGGGCGTTGGCCTGGCGGAGCTGAGGGCTCGGGTGCTGAGGCTGAACTCTGGGGGTCTGGACCGGAGCCGCCTGCTGACCCAGAGCCCGACTGAGGCGCTCACGGAGCTCCTTCAAGGCCGCCTGCTGGGCAAATATACAGGCGGACGTGTTAGCTTCGTATGCAGCAGTGTCGCAATTTACATTTTGGCCCAACATGGTTGACTCACCTAAGGAGTCCAAATACATTTTCTCAAAATCAAGTTAGGAAGCAAAATTGTTCCTTCAATTCTATGAAAAAACAGCGACTCAGATAGGTTGCCTCGAAAGCAATTATTACACGTAGAGCTAGCATTTTGTGCATATAATTGTTCTGTAAATTCTACCAAAAACATTTGCGCAAAATTAAGCTAGTAAAAGCAACTGGCTTCAATGTAAAGACAGGCTACATATATAAAATTATTAAATCTCTCCAAAAGCCATGAACTCCAACACCTTGTTTGTTAGCAAGCCTTAGCGCATGCTAGCTTTCTCAGATGTGGCTCGTAAAAGCTTCCCTCCAAACAAGTTTACTTGAAGATTGAATTGCTACGAACATGACTGGCTCAAACAAAAGGTGTTAGAGTGCTTTCAAGAGTGTTATCGGTATTTAAATTCCAAATAGCTTGGGGAGTCGACCTTGCGAGCAATTATGAGCTCTTCCTAGCTTTCTGAGCTTTGGCTCGTAAAAGCTAACGATCTCAATGGCACTGCATTCCTCGAGCTTAGTTAGCCGCTAGCCCACCTGTCCGCTGCCGTCGGGCAGGTAGCTGATGGCGGTGGACAGGCTGCCCTGCGAGGCCAGAAGCCCAGCGTAGCGACCCAACTCCTCAGCCAGCAGGGAGCCGACGCTGACGGCGGGAGCCGAGCGTTGTGTCTGCTCCACAGCGCGCCGCAGCACCACCACTTTCTCCACCAGGTCCTGTGTGGAATACGGTGGAGTTTTGCACACACAATCTAAAAAGTCTGACCAGTCACATAAACGTGTGTATTCATTTGCGCAAGATAAAGAAAAAAAACTGTCGACGCATTTACACAGAAGCATCATGGAAAAATAATCCCCCAAGTGCACCTGCAGGGCCAGCGGGCAGTGTTGCTGGCCAGCCGTTTTCCAGCAGGCCACCAGTTTGTCCACGTTGCCGGCGCAGATGTAGCACAAACAGGCATGAGCGCGCAGAGCAGCCTCGTCCGACGCCTCCAGACGGACGCCGAGGAGGTCTGAGAGACACCGCAAGCAGCAGCACGGGTGCATTGAGGAGAGGAGACGGGCCATACACGCGTCCCTTATGTTCTGTGAGTCGGTGTTTATGAGGCAAGGCGACGACGGCGAATTCGGCGCTCAATTTTACCGCACAGCGAAGAGAACTCGTCGGGTTTGGCGTAGGTCATGACGGCCGCCAGCGCCTCCTTCCAGTTGTGCAGGTTGCATGCGGTCACGACGTCACGCCAGTCCTTGGTCACCACAGCGCTAATCAGCTAGCGGACAGCAAAAAAACAAAAACAGCATTTTCAAGTGCCGTATTGCCATTGATTGATTGAGCGATTCTGGATGAAAAGTGTTGGTTTTTGAGCCCGCCACCTTTTCCTTCATTTGTACCTTGGTGATTTTGCCACGCGTCTTGTGGAAATACTTCCTCTGCGTCTTCTCCAGGAGGTCGGCGCCACCGGCAATGGCGAGAATGATGCTGTCGGCCATGCGGTCATCAAGGAGGCAGAGCTCCACAGCCACCTCAAAGTTGCCCGTGAGCAGGGCCTGCGTGATCAGACCGTCCATGTCTGGAGAGCGGGGGGGGAAAAAAAAAAAAAAAAAAAAATTTTGTTCCAAAAAAAAAAAAAAAAATTTAAATAAAAAAAAAAAAAAAAAAGAAAAAAAAAAAAAAAAAAAAATTTTGTTCCAAAAAAAAAAAAAAAAATTTAAATAAAAAAAAAAAAAAAAAAGAAAAAAAAAAAAAAAAAAAAATTTTGTTCCAAAAAAAAAAAAAAAAATTTAAATAAAAAAAAAAAAAAAAAAGAAAAAAAAAAAAAAAAAAAAATTTTGTTCCAAAAAAAAAAAAAAAAATTTAAATAAAAAAAAAAAAAAAAAAGAAATTCTGTTCCAATATAAACAATACAAATTTTAATCATAAAAATAGAGAACAAGGAATGCAAAACCAAACACTGAATAAATACCAATAAATCAATGACAAAGAGAGAGAAGAAAAAAAATCTCTCTTGGTCGAGTCAACTCCCCATCTATGTTGCTTACCTTTACTGATGCTGAGGTCGACTCCCTCCGAAGGAGCCTCGGCGGCGGCGTCCTCGACCTGGGCAGGAGTCTCGGGCTCCTTCTCCTCATCCAGCGGCACTTCCTGAAAAATCAGGACACGAGTGTCCTTACATGACTTTTTTGGGACAGTTGGACCATAACGCAGATGATCATTTCCCGTGGAAAAAAATCTGAAGAGGACTGTTTTATTTTCTCTGTTCCTTTGATAGTGTCAAGAAAGACTTTGGACTGTCCCGTCATGAAGGCTTACCTCCTCCAAGGAGATCTCCTCCTCCTCCTGCTGCTGCTGCTGCGGCTCCTCCAGAGGAGCTACGCTCTGGCCCGGTCCTCCCACGGTGGTGTCCTGGCTCTCCGGCTCGGCGCCCTCCTTCATGTTTGCGGCGGCGATCATGTCAAACGCCGCCTCCGGATTGTCGAGCTGCAAGCTGGCCGGAGCGGGGGCCGCGTCCGCCGGCAGAGCTTCAGCAGGCTTTCCTTCCAGCGCGGCAGATATCTGCAGACACGGTCGCGTGTTATCAGTGTCGCCCTCTATTCTTCAGGCTTTTTATACTCTGCAGATAAATCGGAATTTGAGAATTGTTTGACAGTTTATATAATGACTCGTGCTAATTTCTTTTGAGCTCTCAGCGGCGCTTCAAATTATGTGAGATGGATAAATATGGTTTGGTTGAACATTTTTTTATGTGTTTAAAATGTGTGGGAGGGGTAGGTCGACATCAAAACAAAAAGAGACAGAAAAGCATTTTCTTTGGTGTCTCTATCACAGATTTTCACCTACGGCGGGTGGGTCTCACCTTTACAGCGAGCTCCTCTTTGTTGAAGCCCAGAAGCTCCAAGAATTTACTGCGGATGTCACTTTCAAAGTTGGCCTGGAAAACACATGCACACACACACACACGTCTCATCTATCCTTTTCATTGAAGCATCTATCTTTCCATTCACATTCACACAATATAAGAACCCGCTCGTTCAGATACAAATGGCCAACAGTTACCTTGAGGAATGACCAGACAGTTTTCTCAAACTGATCCTGAGCCGCTTGGATCTTCTCCTGGCAGAATTCCTGGAAGGTGCCGGCGCTCAGCATAGCCTGCAGCTGCTCCGACCGCGTCAAGAAGGTCGTCTCGGTCACCACCTGGCTGACGTGAACCAGGCGGGGGCCACCAGGCTCCTGCCCGTTTGCCGGACCATTCTCCAGGGATACTAGCTTTCCGCCAAACTGCACAACAACAAAAATCTCCGTTTGTGTGGATTGCAAATCATCCAGGTGATGGTAATCCACAAAAGGGAAATCTTTGGGTGGGGAATCCCTCGACAGACCTATACAGTATGGATCTGGTGGGTGTGTCCCCTTGGGCTGGTCACACGAGGGCGGTTGTTGTTGCCGGTGAATGACCTTTTTGTATACCAACCAGTGTGGTAGCAAAACAGCTCTGGTTTGTGGTCACACTTTTCCCATTCTTCGGAGAAGAGATGCTAGGACATTGTTGTTGTTCTTACAACAACATCCTGACATCTCTTCCCCAAAGAATTTCCCAATTGTTGTTGTTCTGCCTGATAGGCCCTAAGATTGACCCTTGAGGAACACCACAGGCAAGGAAGCCAGACTTGTGCCAGGGGCAACAAATACAACCACCAAAAGCGCGCACGATTGCGACTTCAAAGACTCACGGCAAACGACGCCCCAACGGGCCTGCGGATCCACTTGGGGGGCTTCTTCAAGGGGTTGACACTAGCAGGGGGTGTGGTGGTCTGAGGTAGCTGCAGTGGGGGCAACGTTTGTCCCGTCCCAAAAGGATCCACGTTGCCGAAGGAGTTACTGATCTGTAAAAATAAGACACTAAGTGAAGACAAATGCATCTGAAAAACTCGGGTGAACCCAATCTGGAGATTTCCCGCTTATGCTTTGTTTCTGTGTGGAAAATGCAGTTGATCGATACTGGCACACGACATTCGTAAAAGTGTCCCAATAGGCCATAACGTATACTTTGGAGATAGAAGGGATGTCAGGCGAGTGCCAATGATGCTCGGCAAAATGAATGATTAACTCAGCTCGGTGTACACATTTTAGCATGAATGATGTCATTTCGGGATGATGTGTTGCTCCGTGAAAGTGCAAAAGCAGTATGCTTGGCTGGGTTCTGCATGAAACGCGTGTCCCACCTGGTCGGCGTGCCTCTGGCTCTGTGCCAGGCTGCTGCCGCCCATGATGGAGTAGATGTCGATGTGTCCGTCGAAGCGGGCGGCCGAAAGCACCGCCGGGTTCCTGGGGCACCACTGCACGTCAAAGCACCACTGGCTGCCGGCGGGCAGCTCGTACAGCACCTGAACGGGTCGGGATGGGGTGCGGGGCGGCATCGGTCACGGAGGATTTTCAAAATGATGCGAGGCGGCTGGCTGGGTTACTTGCTGACCTCGCCCGTGTTTGGGTTCCAGCACAGGATCCTGCTGTCTTTGCCGCAGCTGAGGAGCAGCTCAGGATCGGCCACGCTCCAAGCGATGGCGAGGACGCCTCTGCGAAGGGAAAAATGCCGCGGGTCAAGATAGCGTAAGAGATGTAGGGTTTTTTTCAGGGGTGGGAGGCAAATAATCAATGTCAGGGAGCAACGCCACACAAATTATTCAGTGTTCTTTTATTTTTGTATGACGATTAAAATGTGATTGCGGAAAAGATTGTTTGTCTTCATTGCTACGCGAGACCGGCACCTGGTGTGATTCTCCAGAATCCGGAGCGGCGAGGTAGCAAATCGTAAATCCCACATCTGAATGACGGGCATGCGGTCGTCCTCGGAGGCCAGGACCAGCTGGGTGGCCACCTCTGGGTTCCATGCCAGCCCGGAGCAATGCATCTACGAGCAAAGACACGCCGCGTGACGACGACTTGCCACTTTATGGGAGCCTTTTATTTCTCGGCGGGCGAAGCACCTACTTTGTTGCTGTGGTCACTGACTTTAATAATGAGATCGTTCTTGCGGAGGTCCCACACGGAGGCACGACCGCTAGGGCTGGCCGAGGCCAGGATGTGCTGGACCTGCCGGTTCCACGACAGGCAGCCAATGTCCTCGACTGGCTGTTCACAAATAAGCAGTGAGCATCAGAACGCAGAGCGATACAGTCCTGTCAAACCCCCTCCATCGCGGGCTCCGGATTTGCCTTCACAGTTGTTCACGTTTTTTTTTTTCCTTCCCAATGTGTCATTTAAATTTTCACCATGTGCCGGCATTTTGCTGGCATTGAGTTCAAATCCTGCGTGCCACTAAATACAGCCCTACGAAATATAATAACAACACACTCAAGTTGTATAAAAGGGTCTGAACAAACTGATGAAAATTTTTTGCTCAGCCCATTTTCTTTTCCCTTGAAGCAAAGAAATTCAAATTAAAGTAGTGTACCTGCGTTTTGGGTCCTGGCGTCATGGGGGACTCGAAGTTGTTTAGATCCCAGATGTAAATTTCGGACTCATTTGCGCCAGATGCAAAGAGGTTGGTCTAAACCACAGACGAAGAAGACCAAGCGTGAGCAAAGCGAGAGGCGGGAGAAGAGAAGCGGACGGTGGCGTGCCTGGAAGGGATTGACGTCAAGTCCTCTCACGGCGCCCGTGTGCCGGTCGCTCTCGGCCACCACCGCGTTGTCACTCTCGCCGGCCATGATCTTGGCGGCGTCGTACAGGATGACGTTGCCGTTCTCGCCCCCGGCGATGACCAAGCCTGCCGGGTGACCCTGGGCGTCTGCTCCGCAGGGACCCCAGACCAGCTTGTGGTACCTGAGGGTGGCCGGTGCGTCAATAAGACAAGGGTAATGACAATCAAACACCTCCATGCCACCCCAAAAAAACATTTATTTTTCGTGCCTGTGAGACGAAGAGAAGCTGCCACATGACTTCATGTCCAGGGACGGGTCGGACAAGTCCAGCTCAAAGAGCTCCAGGGAGGCGTTGGTGCTGAAGGAGGCATCCAGCTGCTGCGCCGACGTGCCTGGACAATAATTCATGTGGGTATGAAACATGACATCGACTGCTGAGCAAAACACAGAAGAAGATTTTGCTAGAAAAGGTTGCTGGCATGCGCTCGCACCAGTGGCCAGGTAGATCGGGTGCTGCTGAGCCGGACTCCAGCTCTGGATGGCAGTACGGTTGATCTCTTTCAGTTTCATCCTAAAATAAATAAATAAATAAATGAATAAATAAAAATAAAAATATTACTTCTGTGTAGCGTAGACTTCTTTTGCATTTTTTTTCGGGGCGGGGTATGAAATCAAAGTGCATATTTAACATTTGACATTTTGGGGCTTTATATCTTGTTCAAGCCATTCCTCGTGGAAGGAACTGACGCGCAATTGATTGCCTCTGACGAAGATAAAACATGACAAAGTGCAAGATGCAATATGAGCAAGAGCTGCATTAAGTCATAAAACGTGTGGAGAAACACTGCAAGTGAATGGCCAAAATGTAACAATACATTCAAATTTGATAAACTTCAACCTCGGATAAGGATGGAGGACGGATGGACGAATGAATGAACGAATTACAAGTTTTGTTCAAACCATGAATGAAATACTGCACTACTATATTTCTTGAAGTTTTCAGGGTTGATTATTTAAAACTGCATCTCAAAGGTAATATTAAAAAATCGTTTAATAATTGAGATTGGATAATGTGGAAAAATTGCTAGATATATATTTTTTCTCCCCTGCCATATGCTGCATCCCAACTTTAGAGTCTTAAAGCTAAGATAACTTTTGCCGAAAAGTGGAACCAGCCACCCTGGACTGGTCCTCACCTCAGTCAATCAGAGAGCACATATACAAAAAGAAGCATTCTCACATACTGACAATCAGGGACTGGTGATCTCCAGATCACTGCATAGACACGCATAAACAAAACAACCGTTCATACTCACATTCACACCAGTGGACAATTTAGAGTCTTTAATTAACCTAAGATGAGCTCTGGCAAGACAAATGGGACAGGTCTACCTGGACTGGACGCCAGCCATTCACAGGGGGCATACAGACAAGTAGTCACAAAAAATGTAGTCAATCTACAACATATCTGCCGGTATTTGCATTTTCCAAATGATTCCCGATGCGCTATTCCGAGAAAACCACAATGTCTCATCACTGTTTAGCGATTATGAAGTCCACCGGCTAATTTTGTAGTCGTCGGAGGCTATCTGGTGCCACTTTGGCGACCCCTGATTCGATTTTGCCGAAGGACCAGTAATGCTTCTCTTGCCAGAAGTCAACTTACGTTAATTGAAGAAAAAAAATGGGGTGTTCAATTAACCTAAGATAACTATTGGCAAGAGAAAAACACCGCACTGGTCGCAATCTGCAGGGCACATCCAGACTGACACACAATCACTCTTCCATTCACTTCTATGAAGGGTTTTTAATTAACCTCACATGATTAAAAATAAATAAATAAATAAACGTAAATCTCTAATACTCTTTAGCAGAGAGGTGACAGCTGATCAATGGCTTACCTGGTTTTACTTTGGTCTTTTCTCCGTGTCACATACACGCGTAGGCACACAATGAATTAAGAAGCAGCGGTTTCGCGCCTCTTTGTTTTTCTCTTGACGCCGGTGTTTCAACGACGAACGCCCCGCGACGTAGGACAAGACAGCGGCTAGTCGTAGCTACCGGTACCCGCTGAGCTCGCTCGACTCGGCTTTCCACGTCCCCACTGGGCTCCATCAACGTGGCACTACGCGTCGATTGGAGGCCTCCTCCCACGAAGAAGAAATAGCTTGCGTGTCGAAGAAGAAACATGGTCGCTTCTGGTTCAGCTTCCGCTTAGCATAGCATGCTAGAATGTTATTTTGCGTTTTACTTGACCGAAAAGCGAGACATTCGTATAATGCAATATCCTTAAGAATATTTATAATAGCGACCGTGTTGTTTTAATTTGATGTGGAGGTTTGGTAACGGTCCTTCCCATTATTGGTCACTCCCGTCTGCTACAAAACCAGTGGTTCAGAAAGTTTTTACAATAAACAAATAATACTTCGGTCTCCAAGTACCACCTAAAGAAAAGAAAGCGTAGGCCTTACGCCCATTTTGAAGCCGCTGTAAAATTATGTAGTTTTAAGACAGTTTAGAAATATTTGAAAATAATTCATCTGTATTGCAGAAAAGTTTTACTCCATGTTTGCAAACAGAAGATTTAATGCAACTTTACTTAACAAATGTAGTGTACTGCATTTGAGGGGAAAACACGTTTTGACTACTGTAACATTGCACATTTTTAACATTTAGTTTCATGATTCTTTAGTGTATAAATAGTAATACGGGTGGTGTTCCAAGGTCACCCACACAAGATATTACACCATTTTTTGTGAAGGCAATCATGGAGTCAATTGCTCATTTAAACACCGCAAAAGCAAGGATTCGGACACTTTCGACCCAGGGTTTGTTTCCAAGGAGCTAAAATTTTTGCTTCGTAAACAAACAAAAAAAACCCACATTATGAGTCATCCTATTCCACTTCTTTGGCAGATCCGCAAGTTATGGCTCATTTCAAAACCCAGTTGAGGAACCAATGCTCTAATACAACACGTTTATTGAGATAGCGCTTTCACAACAGCTGCAGCTGTAACAACACGCTTTGCAGAACATTTAACATTAATTAATTTAGTAGCTAGTTATCCTCATCCCAGTTTTCTCTGTTTGCGAACAAAACGATAGAAAACCACAACACAACTATGAGGTCACACATTTATTATTTATTAGGTTAACAACTTCATGGAGACGCTTCCACGGTCACTTTAGGACAACTCTGCAAGAAGCAAAAAGCGCAAACCAAGTGATTAAAACTTTTGATACTTCACACATTCGTACAACTAAATATTTTCTGTTAAAAGCCCCAAACCCTCATCATTATTGCCGTGTCTAATCTTCCCCAGACTTTGGGAATGAGTCAGATGGGTAGTGATTGCTATAATCATTGGGATGGCTATTAATTCATTAATTTGCACGAAATGTAAGATACTTACTTTTCTGGTACAGTCTGTTAGCGTTGAGCTCTTCGTGGACTGGAGAGATTAAAAAAATGTGATTGCCAGAAATAACATATCGTTTTGTTATAAACAAGAAACACAGCGCGCCAAGATAATTTTAATTTCTATACACTCAATGCACACTTATTTCTGAAAAACACTTAACCTTAGTCCATTAATAAAAAAAAGTCTTGAACCTACTGTACATGCTCCGCGCCATGCTTCCAAGGAGGAATCTTCTGCGCCTTCTTCTTCTCTTGTTCGTTTTCTTCTTCGACTGTTAAAAACAGTCGCTAGCGCGATGCTAAATGTGCTTTACTGGGCTTTGCAAACATTACCAATAAGCGAAAATGTTATTACTCGCTTGAAATATCAAACAAAACTTCAAGACCTCTGGCGACTCAAACAAAACCAAGCTAGAAACTACTTTAAATCAAGTCGAATCGTGTCCCTGAATTTCACAGCGCCGCCTACTGCACGGGTGTAGTAAGTACAACAGTAGAAAAAAACACTATTTTGCATTCGAGTTAAACCCATCCATCCATGATCCGAACTGATTATCCTCAGGGTGGCGGGCGTGCTGGAGTCTTTCCCAACTGTCATCGGGCAACAGGCAATGTACACTCTGAACTGGTTGCCAGCCAATCACATGGCACACTCAGACGAACAACAGCAAGCTCACAATCACACCTCAGGACAAATTAGTGTCCAATCAACCTACCGCGCATGTTTTTAGTCTGTGGGAGGAAACCGGAGGATCCAGCGAAAACCAACGCAAGCATGGGGAGAACACGCCAACTTCACACAAGAAGGCCGGAGACTGAATCGAACCATGCATCTCTGCACAGTGAGGCAGATGTGCTAACCAGTCACTCACCGTCTCGCCCCTTAGAATTAAATACATAGCTAAATAGCTTTATTTTTGTTATTTTATTTTTGTACAATTTACCTATGTCACAATTTCCCACAAGATTGCTGTACTGCCGAGACGTTCTTTATAACAGTGATTCTGATCAACAGAAGGATAAAAAGCATCAATCAAACGTGTATTTTGGTGGTTTTGAAGGTCTTAAAAACTGGTGTTATACTGTGGTTCCACCACCATGTAAAAAGGCACACTACACTGTCAACCAATCCTTGCCAGGTTTTTATGTTTTGATGATTTTTGTGCTTCTGGACTTCCATTGTGTTTTTTTTTTGTTTGTTTGTTTGTTTTTTGTTTCTTCCCCCAAATACAGCATTCCTTTTCTTGAGCACAAAGATTGCTAATGTTTGTTTAGTATTTTATCCTTCGCAGCTGTGGCCTATGTGCACAGATTTCGAATAGATGTAGCCTATCCTTGGTTAATAATAACCATGATGATAACAATAACAATAAAAAATAATTAACAGTGTAAGCAACAAAAGATTAGCGCTAATTACAAATACTTTTCAAAATAAATATCAAAAATGTGTTGCGTTTTATCAAGTGAGAGCACAAATATGCCATTTACACCATTTTTTTTGCCATAAAACATCAGATAGGAAAGAGGAAAGCAAAGGAGTATAAAAAGGGGGGAATAAAAGCTGGAAGCGCGGCACTTCTTTTGCGCGAAGATGAGCGTCTCTGATGTTCCACGTGTGTCCGTTCCAACCCGGCTACGATTGTGAACCTAGCTGTTGATGGCGGCAAAGTCTGCTTTGGCTTTGCCCGCCGAGTTGATGATCCTCATAAGGCAGTGTCCGAACTCCTCCAGGATCAAGCGCTCGGCTTCCGCTTGAGGCTGCCGCGTCTGCTCCGCCCGCTTGGCCTGTTCCAAGAGGCACTCGCACGTCGCTTCCAGCACCTCCTTCGTCACAAATGTGTACGGGAGCCTGGAAGGAGGACAATTCTGTAGAGTGATCGCTCCAGCTCATTCTTTCATATGTGGAAGTGTGTGTGTGTGTGTGTGTGTTATGGATGGAGATTTTATATATATATTATTAGCAGCGATGAGGAGGTCTTAACGATGAAATGAAAGATTACTCTTTTCTTAATATGGTAAGAATGTCATTTTATAAATGACAATGATGGTGAATGTGTGCCACAGTTTACATGAAGTGTCTGCATAACTTGATAAGTTGCACATGCCCCTGACGAATCTTTACAAAAGGACAAAAAAAAAGTAAACACGTTCATGTCATTTCTGCGACAGGGTTTCACAACGTGTTGTAGGCTGCCGCCCTCTAGCGGTACAGAAAATAATCACTGAAACTGTGCAAAATTGCCTCAGCGATTTAAAAATTTTCTTAGTCTAGTATGCTATATTTATTCATTACAGTTCAGTTGTATTTAAGTTTGCAATTACAATACATTTATACACACTCTGAGAACTGCTTGTTTCCAGTTAGGTGCCATTTTTTTTTTAAACTTGTATGTGCAATGCATCATAACTAAATCGTGTGAGGAGAAGCACTTCAGACCAGCGCTGGATGGATCAATTAAAAGTCAATCTTTTTTTATGGACCTACATTTAAGCACAGTGTTGTTGTTCAAACTGTGAATGATCTTATATTTACCTAAAATGATATACGACAACAAAAAAACTTTTTTTTTCATGATAGAAGAGTTGTATTCACATATTTTTTGTGGTAAGAGGCTACTTCCTCACGGTGGAGAATGGATCCCCCCACCCTGTCAGATAAATGATTTAGTACCTGCCGCCGCCGCTGGAGATGACGGGCGTGGTCCTCATGAGCAGGTCTGAGATCTGCGAGGAGAGCTTGGTCTTGGCTGCCGTCTGCTGCTGGACCCGGACCTCGGCGGCGTCGGCCAGGTGCATGAGCGTCTTCCTCTCCGGGCTCTCCTCGAAGTTCTTGCAGCCCACGCACTTGCAGATGGACGAGCACATGATCTTGGCCTGGACCCAGAACACGACCGAGTGGGAGGAGGCGAGGGGGTTTGAGAGGGACGTTTTGTCCCTTCTGGAGGCCACGCTGGTCGGAAGACTCACCTCGTAGCACTCGCAGTAGTTCTTCAGGCAACCCGACCGTTTGCAGTTGCAGCCTTTGCTGTGGCGCCGGTCTGATTCGCCCTCTTTCCCTTTGCCGATCTTGGGCTTAAATGCCTCCGGGTTGCGGTCCAAACACGTCTGCGGCGCACAACCAAACGGGCCAAACATCACGGCTCGGCCCGAAGCGAATCGGACGTGCTTAGAAGGCCGGGCTGAGAATTACCTTGATGGCTTTGGAGCGCTCGGCCTCGTGCTCCAGGTTGTTGAAGCAGTTGTTGCAGTTGCAGTTGTTGCAGAACTCGCCGTTTGCGAAGCAGTCGCAATATCTTAGGAGAGGGATTAAAAGCGGATGGTTCATACACACCTTCTTCAAAGTTAGATTCAAGCACTCCAGGGTTCGACTTCTCAACAGCTAAAAACACTCAAGGAGGAAATTATATTGAAAACGCTTTTGGACTTCAAGTGAACTGGAGTTCCAAAAGTCTGTAAGAGAATCCCCTGCAATAGACCAAAAACCCACAAAGTAGCGACCACACAATTATTTGATTCTTTATTTTGATTTTAAAGCTTTATGCACCAAACCAATACAAGAAATCTGCAGCTATTATTTTGGTCCACTTGGGCTCGCCAATCTCATCTGGTGTCTATTGGTGACTTTGAATGTGTGTGGCTTGAAAAGGTGGGGCCTGGCCTGGTGAGTGACGTGGGAGTCAGTGAATGAGGATGGGAAAAAAAATAATAATGAATCACTGACACAGAGATGCACGATGACAACATCTGTGAAACAGTGAAATCACAAATGAAAATGTGGTATCAATTTCTTTCTTGGACAAAAAAACTTAATGTTAAAAAAAAAAGTGTTCAAATTTTAAATGCTAGTGGATTTGTAGCTTTTGACAGAATGAAAGTGGTAAAACACTTGCAAATCATTCCATTGTGACACAAAGAGAAATAATAAAGGCGCTTGGTCATACTCACAGCTTGAGACACTGAGACTTGGTGCAGTTGCAGGGTTTCCTCGGCCGCGACGTCGCCTCTGCCGACATCCTGCGAGTGAAGAAGAAGACTTATCTCTTGGATTTTTGCAGTCCCATCCTCTTCTGAATATAACTCGCACTTTGTTTCATCGTTCGGTGGGTCCTACGACTTCTACTCGGGTGCGACTTGTATCTCTTGAAATTAGAGCTAGGACTTCTACTGCTCTTGGAAAAATACATTTCCCACAGCAATTACTCCGGAGCGGCATGGACGTTTTCCATGTGAAGTCCAAATCGCTGTGATTGGAAGCAAACGTAGACCGAAATCAAACTCTATAAATGTTTTGACGTTTTTTTTTTTCCCCACGGATCTGAAAACACAATTTCCAATCAACCTGGTCAAAAATGAGAAATTAGGTGGCTACTCACCCATTGAGCGGGAGCCGGGCCTGAGTCTGGACGGCAGCGGAGGCGGTGGGAAAAGCGGAGTTGTTGGCCAGGGTCACGATGGGCGCCTGCTGCAGCTTCTCGACACACAGACACACACACGCACACGTCAATATCACGCCGCGTGACACTCAGTAATGACCAAAATGACGGCTACGCCCCCGGTGACGACGGTGTCAAAATAAAAACGCCGCCGAACCTGTGTGACGTACTGCGCCGGCAACACGGCGTAGCCCACGTTGCCGCCGCCCGGGGCCGGCGCCAGGACGGTGCCCGGCGGCAAGTTGGCGAAGTTAGGCTGTATCTGCGGCAGCGCCGTGGCGGGCATGATGAGGCGCTGCTGGGACGGCGTGCCGCTGACCACCTGAGCTCCCGACGTCAGCGGCTTGGGGGCCACCTGCGCGCGAAGCGGAGCATTAGGCGCGGGTCTCCGTTTGAAGCGGGAAGAAGAAGCATTTGAGGCGCCGTGCTCGACCTGCTTGACCGTCTGCGCCGTGACGATGGGGACCGACATTCTCACCGCCCCCGTGCTGACCACCATGGGTTTGGCTGCGGGACACGCCATATTTAGCCCGCGTTTGCTCCCGTCTTCCTCAAAATGCGGACTCACCTGTCTGCACGGCGCTGCTGCTGGGAGCGCTGGACTGTATGGCGCCGCTCGCCGTGGTGGCGGTGACCAGGCGAACGTAATGGAAGCGGCTGCCCGGCACCTGGATCTGCTGCAAGTTCGACTGGGCCGCCAGCGGGATGATGGTCTTGAACTGGGAGCCGCCCACCGCCACCGACTGGACCGGTTTGATATTCTGGAAAGAGGCCACAGGATTCGTTTCAGGGACAAGCATTTAGGACGAGGCGCCATTTCCTGGACATCACATAAGACGCCAATTTTTTTTAGAACATTTTGATTCGGCGCCAGAGAAATGAACGAGCTTGAACAAAATGGATGATGCTACATTAACACAACAAATGACAGATAATTCATTTTAGGCAAGAGATTTTTAAAATTGTAGGCTTATTTTACTTTTTTTTTCATTTATAGATTAGATCAGGCGCATCAAAGTGATTTTTTTGGGGTGACGGGCCACGTCGTAGTTCTGGTTTACGACCGTGAACCCCAATAATATGTGAGCTGAGCAAGAGATCCCAAATGTCAACTAAATACTTGTTCACCTGCGCTGCCGCCTGGCTGGTGGCCACCTTGACGGGCGACACCGCCGTCGACTGTTGCATGGAGAGGATCTGCTGGCTCAGCGCCACGCTGACAGGCAGCGTCATGGACTTCTGAGCGGCCCCGGAGGTCGGCGACGCCACAGACACCACCGTCACCTGAAGGAAAAACAAGAAAGACGAATCAAGTGCCAATACCAGCCAACATTTCCCCCCCCAAAATTCTCAGTTTGGAGACAAGCTTGTATTGTGTAGTCTCATGTTGTGCTGCAACCTACCGGGCGGCGTCTGTCATTTATGCTCATTTGTATTAGCCCTGGCTCCTTATCTCAAGGCAACAGCCTTGAACTTGGGTCTTCTACTGGACTGTGATTTGAAATTGGACCGGCAAATTGGTGCTGATCATCTTGGCCAGCTGACTAAAGTCAAGGCTCTCCTTACTCAAGAGCACTTTGAAACAGTAATGGGTTGTTCAAATGTGTTTCAATTATGTGGGACCAGTAAAACAAATATAAAAAAAAATGTTTGATATGGTCTCGATATTGCCAATTCTCACCTATCGTGGGGGATCTGGAAAAAACGAGGCGTCACTGCAACAAACGTGTACCCAGTGAGAGTGCTACAAGTTGGCATGAAGCTTCACCTTGCTTGGAGTCTTGAGGGGGGAGATGGCGATCTTTTTGCCGGCGATGCTTTGGATGCTGATGGTGGTGTTGTGGGGAGAATCTGTGAGCGTGATCGGCCTCTGAGGCATCGTTGGCGAATTCTGCGCCAGCACCCGTCCTGCCGACACGATGCCGCGTTAGCTACGGAATCGCTAACCGTGCGTGTGAAAAGGCGTGACTGCGGGGCACTCTGAACGAGCGTCGTTCCGCTCACCCGCTATGACGGGAGCACCTGACGTCTGAGGACTCAGCGCTTTGCTGTTCACCGGTTTGTTGATGATGAACTTGATGGGCGCAGTCGAGGACACCGGCGTTTTCTTTGCAATCTGTGCACAACAAACAACATACGTCACACGTGTCCAGTGTATTCCAATCGGTTCTGTGCATTACTGTCAGTCTGAAACAACTAATCCAATCATTTGAATAATTCGACCGCCAAAAAAACTCGGAGAAAAATCTCAAAGCTTGGCAGTGGAGGCCGGAATGAATAAATGGCATTTCAATTGATTTTAATGGTAAAAATGTATTTGACACAAGGAAACTGAGTTCCAATCTTTGCCATGGAACAAACATGGTGCCGCTGTAATCTGAAAACGTGTGCACGCGCACAGGCCCATCTGCCTTTTTTTTTTTTTTAACCCGTTGGAGTTAACTGGCATCAACCCCAGACAAATGAGGGCAAAACAGACTACATACACCCCGGATTGGTCAATCACAGGTCAAAGATCGACACGCAAAAATTGCTGTTCCTGAACGGGAATCGACTTCACGAGAGACGGACAAACGCCAGCCGTGCGAATGAATACGCTACCGGTGAGAACAAGACCAACAGAATCCGAGCAAAATATCAAGACCAAAAAACAAAACAAAACACAGTAGGCTCATGCAAGGACAGATACATAATGAGACCAGCTGTCATAAAGAAAGCAGCATCATGGAGCGCTTTAATGCACACTCTTTCAATTTTGGTTTAGAAAAAAAGAGACTGAAATGAAATGTCATTTCGGTTAAAGACCTTCGAATGTACATACTGGTGTATAGTAACCATGACAGAAAGCCCCCAAATCTCTTGCTAATAAGCAAGGCTGCAAGTCACGTGGGAAAGGATAATCGCTCTCAACTGAACCAACCTGCACCGTTTTGAGCTGCTGCCCTTGCAAGGCGGCCACCTGACCGGTTGTGCTCCCAACCACGGGCTTCAAATCCGACCTCCCGCCGATGGTCACCAACTTGATGGACTTGGCGTCGGCCACTCCCGCCGCTCCTCCGGACTTGGTGGCGCTGTGGGGCAGCTGCAGCACAATGGGCTGTCCCGTCTTCCCGATGGTGGTCACCAGAAGCTTTTGGCCCCCCGCCGAACGCGCCGCCTCTGTGGCCTGGGCCGAAGCCACCTTGTTGAGGATGATTTGATGGTTGGCGGCGGAGATGCTGAGCGGCACCGCCAGCTTCTGCAAGGCGCTGGTGGTGACCGTCGTCCCCGTGATGCTGTCCGTGGTCTTGGTGGTGGCGGTGGAGGTGTCCAGCGCCGGTCTCAGGCTCACCAGCGGGGAGGGCAAACCGGAAGCGGAGACGGCAACGCCGACGCGTTCCGTCGAGGAGCCGACGCTCTCCGGGGTCGTGTCCGTTTCCATGGCGACAGGGACGTCCTGGCTGGACTGAGCCACATCCTCGATGGACTCCATGTCCATGATTTCATCTGGGAGGAGGCTGTTGAGCTCGGGTGACACCACGTCCATGTTGGCGTCGACTCAGCACCCCGGTACACCTTGAACAAAAAACAGACACGCCTGTAACATGTGCAATACCGCACAGTAACACGTTTTGGTTCCATCTTAATGGACACAATGGAGACGGTCACAATTGCCAAGTAAACTGCAGTTACTGGTCAGGAATAATAAAGAATATGCCAGTGAGCATTGTGCTTATATTTGTCTAAATCTTTAGTGCCATTTTTTTGCACAAATATATGTTGCCGAAAATGTTTAGACACCGTGACACCAATGCTATTCGTTAGCCCATCTATGGCATTTGGCAATGCTTGTCAACAATCAGAACATGGAATTCTCCTGGTTTTATCATTACTTTGATCGTAAACTTTTTTTTGAAAGATCGATCACTGTCTGCCAAACTGCTACTTGTTGTGAAGTGAGATGAGTTGCGTTCATTGTCAACATTCACCGCTTGTGTACAGGACTCCAGACTGCCCAGAAATGTCGGCATTTTGCCCCTAAGAATTTTTTCATCTACTCGTGCATGTGCAACCAGTAAACTTGGTGATTTTTTTTCTGACTGACAAATATCTGCTCTACATTTCAGGTCATTGATACGTAGTACAGTGAAAATGAATGAAAATATGAATACCTCGTTACTTCGCAAATTGAATTACAACGTGCATCCATAAAATCTGCACTTGCAGCCCTAATATTTCAGGGTAGGAGCCACTGTGCTCCTATTAAAAAAAATTAAAAAAAGAAGAATTAATCTGGAGCCGTGGATTGTTTTTTTTCCCCATAGCAATCATAAGGAGAGCCAATTACTCACAGAGGTTTGCTATTGGCGGGTGGGCTCGTAACCTACCCCAATAAAAATAAACAGCTTGACTGTTCAATACTTGTAGTGTCATCTGAGCTTTTGCCAGCCGGAACCAAATCTGATGTCATGGTGAAAGAGCCGATAGATTATTACTGCATAATTATTCAAATTGGACCTTGTCAGTCCAAAATGAGAGTGGATACCTTAAAAAAAGGCCCTATTTTGATACTGAGCAGCAAAAGCAATGTGTCGTTCAGATTCACAAAACTTTAATTATCCACGTGACCTTCTTGATAGGAAGCAGGTAGCTGCAGCTATTGACCAAGTTTACAGCATAAACACAAAAGGTCGCCCCACTGGAGGTCTAAGTTCAGAGTTGTAGTAGTTCTAGAATGCAGAACAACACATTTCAGCACAACATTCACGATCCATAAGCGCAAATGTCTTAATAATGAAAAGTAAACACAGGTGCCTTGCTTAGGAACGTTTGTGTTCCCGTTTAAAAGCTTTGCGGAGAACGTAAACAAACCAGCCAGGATGACTGAGCTAACGTTAGCCCACCCACTCCAAACATCGTCTTTTATAAGTTAAGCGTGCCAGTAAACGATCTTTACCGTCACCAGAAAGGCGTTACAAGTGAAACTGACAGCTGATAAGAGGTGAACGACGGCGACGACATCATCAACATCATCATCATCCCCGGCAGAATCTTTGTGTCTTCCCCACTGAGGGGCTCGCTTGTCCCAAGCTTGGCTAACCGGCTGCTTTTGTACAAACAGCCGCAAAGTTGTATTACTTTCTATGTGTGGAGGGAAATGAAAACAATCCCGACAAGAAGGCTCCAATCCGGGGGGACGAGGAGAGAGGAGGCCAGCAAGATATTTGGCTGCGTTACTATTTCAGGCCGGGCTTGGATTTCGAAAGATCCGCCATTTTTCTCTCGTCATCAGTCCTGCTAGCTGCACGGCTAACAGCGAGCTAACATAAGGGAGGGTGCTGTCTTTTTTATTTGAAACAAAAAAATTAAACAAAGGGAAAAAACACGTGATACACCGACCTAAAAGTTCGCACAAATGTGATAAGAGGTTATACACTCTTGGCGAACGTGGCTAAATTTAGTTTTGCATACCCTTCTCCCCATCTGTCACTTGAGATCATTCCGATAGTGGAAAACAAAATAGTCTCGATTCTAAGACTCATTAAGGTGGCCTTTTTAGATGCGTTATTATATATATAGATATATATATATCTATATATATATATCTATAGATATATATATCGGATCTCCTCTGATAAACGTCAAGAGCTCACGAGCACTGCGGAAAAGTCCACCAGATAAAAAGAGAACAATGTGGACATGATACGCAAGTGTTGTGAATTAACGCCACACCACCAAAACAACAATTGCAAAAATAAACGTCCAGTTATCGACTATGGAACGTTAGCGCCTACTTCGGACAACTTGACGTGTCCGTGAAAGCGGAGATTCTTTGCCTCTGTTTGTAAAATGACCTAAACTGGTTGGTCATGGAGACTTTGAGGGGCGGGGGTTGCTTGTCAGACGTCCGGGCCCCAGTATGAAGCGGCATCATCCAGGGCGAGGAGCACAACTGCTGTCTGTACTCCTAGCAAACTTGCCGAGCAGCGCTAACCCAAGCTAGCTTCAGCTCTACGTTTATTTTGTCCACATTAAAAACACAGTTTCGCGTGTGGTGGTGGTGGTGTCTTCCGCCGGAACCGCGGCCAGCCTCCGGCACCGAGTTGCACTTACCTGAGTTATCTGACGCGGGCCAGCGTTTGCGGGCGAAACGAGCAGCGCAAAAGACGATTGTTCAAAATACCGCGCCGAGCGCCATTCCTCCCTGACATTTCACAGGTCGGCCACGCCTTCCTCACGCAACGTCACTCTTACGTCATTCTTAAAGGTACGGTAACAGTAGTCACACGTATGTAAATTTCTGTGCGCGTGCATCGAGTACTTTTGCCATTAAACTTTCAGTAGACCAACCCACTACAACCGACATTTTTCCATGAATACACAGTTGCTCTTAATTTGGTGTAACATAAACGGATAAATTAGCAAACTTTAAATCATTGAACTAAAAAAGTCTTTTAGGAAACGTTTGCGGATTCCACAATCGAGTGACTGTGAGCGGTATCGTTGGGACCCTGTCATTCTTTCCATTATATTGAAATTGCATTTTAAAAGTGCCATACGAAGCTAACATTTAACAGTCATTATGACTATCATGACGAAAAAAATGAAAATTAAATTTTTTAAATCAATCATCACTAAGCGGAAGTTTCCACTTTTGGTGGCGGAAGCGGCGTTGTTGACAACCCGGACGGCGCGACCATGGCCACCGAAGTGCGGCAGGAGCTCGCACAGCTGATGAATTCGTTTGGCTCCCACAAAGACCTCTCAGCCAAGTACGTGGTGCTTACGTGAAACGTGTTATTTATTTTTTCATTCATACCCGGATACAGAATATGAGGCACCCCGTTTGACTAAAGCGGTGCAGGGCTTACTATGACAGACCAAGCTAAGCTAACGTTAGCTTCTTTGCTTCGCAAGAGAAATGGGTGTTTCTTTTTCGAATTAAATGGTTTTGTGATTAAAACAGTTTTATCTGTGTAGATTAAAATATGTAAACTGAAAGCATGTGCCAGACAGACGTTGGGACAATTTGCACATTTTCATGTTAGTATATAGCAAGGACTTTGAGCTCAACGATGGTCAACATTCTATAAACGTGGGTCAATAGAAAGTACTCTGCACAGCTCTTGTCAAGAGAGGGCAGGCAAACTGTTTCCCGCTGTTAGAATATAAAGCATTATGCAATTTATATCAGAAAAATCCAAACAAGTTTGACTCGATTGCCTGTCTAAATAAATGACGTTTAATTGCTTTTTAAAATTACCTTTAATTATTATTCTCTTGTAAGGGACAGTAGGTAAAAGACTGTCAGTAGATTGCACTGACCTTACTGTTGTTTCAATGCCTAAATTTTGACTGACCCATTTTTCAAACTCTTAGAATTTTTACTCATTCTAAATTATATTGTTGAGAGTAGTTTTAAAGTGTGAAAAAAGTTGCATCATATTGTATATCTCTTTTAAGATATCGACAAATCTTGGAAAAGGCAGTCCAGTTCACAGATGCAGATCAGCTCGAATCCTTGAAAGCCTTTGTTGAAGCAAGTATGAAGCACCGCAATACACTTTTCCCGTGCTTGATAATGTGGAGTATTTTTCTCCATAAGAATACAGATTTCTCTTTTTTTAACCCCCTTGTAGTGGTCAATGAAAATGTGAGTCTAGTCATCTCAAGACAGCTCCTCACCGACTTCTGCACGCATCTGCCCAACTTGCCTGACGCCACGGCCAAGGCGGTGTATCACTTCACCTTGGAGAAGATTCAGCCGAGGGTCATTTCCTTCGAGGAGCAGGTACACACACACACACACACACACACACACACACACACACACACACACACACACACACACACACACACACACACACACACATATATGTATACCAGTCGGTCGCTGTGTCTTTTTAGCGACGCGTTACGACGATGTTCTTAACTATGCGCAGGTGGCCTCCATCAGACAGCACTTAGCGACCATTTATGAAAAGGAGGGCGACTGGAGGAACGCCGCCCAGGTTTTAGTCGGCATTCCTCTTGAGACGGGGCAAAAGTAGGGCACGAACGCCTTCCTTCCACCCACCGGATCCTTCCTCATCTTTTCACCGTTCTTACTCGGTCTCGTCTAGGCAATATAATGTCGACTACAAGTTGGACACCTACCTGAAAATAGCCCGTCTCTACTTGGAGGACGACGACCCGGTGCAGGCCGAGGCCTACATCAACAGAGCCTCGCTGCTCCAGAACGAGTCCTCCAATGAGCAGCTGCAAATACATTACAAGGTGAGTGGGGGTGGCGATCAATAATCCTAATCCCGCTTGTCAAACGATGGCGGCGGGTCCACACAGATTCAAATCTGACGTGGATTTTTTTTAGGCCTATTTTAAAAGAGCCGATATCGGCCGGCTGATTCATTAGTCGGACCTGAAATGACCATCCCACTTGTGACACCAAAGACTGCAGAGTCCCATTGTGTAATGCGTGACCCTCCCACTTAGGTGTGCTACGCCAGAGTCCTCGACTTCAGGAGGAAGTTCATTGAAGCCGCGCAGCGGTACAACGAGCTGTCTTACAAATCCATCGTCCATGAGAGCGAGCGTCTCGAGGCGCTCAAGCACGCGCTCAACTGCACCATTTTGGCGTCCGCAGGTACCAACTCATTTTTGGGGGAATGTTGTTTCCAAAAAAGTCTATTATCTATTGTGTGTGTGTGTGTGTGTAGAAGAGAGAGACAGAGAGAGAGAGCTCCTTGGCTAGAAACTGCAATACACACTGTTCTCGACTTTAGCAATTTTTGACAAAGTGTGATTGCGTACCTGATCCAACCATCCAGAAATGATCTTACTATTGCCCCACGCTGTATTTTTCTTTTTGCAAATGTAATCAATGTGCCTAAAGCGAGCAGTAAAAGCGCTAAAATGGCATCGGCGCCAATGGTGGGGTGGGAGTTTGTCGATGGTAATCTTCGATGTTGACGGGATTCCAGGCCAGCAACGGTCCCGCATGTTGGCCACCCTCTTCAAGGACGAGCGCTGCCAACAGCTGGCCGCCTACGGGATTCTGGAGAAAATGTACCTGGACCGCATCATCCGGGGGAACCAGCTGCAGGAGTTTGCCGCCATGCTTATGCCTCACCAGAAGGCCACCACGGCAGACGGTCAGTACACCAGGAACTTGCTGTTCGCTCTGTAGGGCCGGGACGCCCGGACCTGCATTTGAGAGCGGAAACGTCTTTATGGCAAACGTATTAGCGGCAGCCGCTGTCGATGCCCTGTAATAGATGTCCAGCGGAATGTTGAAACTTACAGATTACCGATATGAGGGCTGGGCAACTGAAATGATGAGAAGGCCGCTTCAATATTTCGTCAGCGCTACGGGGGGAGGGCTTAGGGGGGCCCCCGTACTTTCTAACCAGAGGCATTCAAAATGGCATTTAAAGTTTAAAGCAAATTTGTGAATATGTTCCGTGTTTTTGTTGTTGTTTTTTTTTAATCAAGCCAATGTAGTGATATCATTTCTATCATTGAATACTGATTCTTGATATTGATATGAACCCGGAACTTTTCTTCAGGCTCCAGCATCCTGGACAGAGCTGTGATCGAACACAACCTGCTCTCCGCCAGTAAACTTTACAACAACATCACCTTCGAAGAGCTCGGCGCACTCTTGGAAATCCCTCCGGCCAAAGTAAGGGAAAATTAGATGTAGCCGCCTTTTTCTCAGTGGCGACGTCGTGCTTCCCAAATGTGCCACTTTGAACTGGTGTTTGTTGCTATGTTGATTTAGTTTTCCTTCTGCCATGACAACCTTGACTTGCAAGTAATGTCAACACTGCATCATTGTGTTGAATTATTTTTTATTTTTTTACTTCTGTCTATAGGCTGAGAAGATTGCATCGCAGATGATCACCGAAGGACGCATGAACGGCTTCATCGACCAGATTGACGGCATCGTACACTTTGAGAGTGAGTGGCTCGTTGTTTTGCAGCTGTGGTGAAAAACGAGATTTTTAAACATTTATTCAGTGCAATGTGTTGCACGGACAGCAGGGGGCTCCCTTATACTACAGGCGTGACGGACTGTTTTTTTTTTTTTTTTTTTAATTTCTTCGAAGCATTTGTCGTCCTATCAGCGTGGACAAAGAGCGCTCGAGTACGTTGACCTTAGGCCGGAGATAAAAGATAACGACGCCATTTTTCTTTCGCTTTCAGCTCGAGAGCCGCTTCCCACGTGGGACAAGCAGATCCAGTCGCTGTGTTTCCAGGTCAACAATCTCCTGGAAAAGATCCGACAGGCGGCTCCCGAGTGGGCCGCCCAAGCCATGGAGACCCAAATGAGTCAGTAAAAGTCGCCCCAGCTGCAGCCCCCCGCCTTGAAGTTCTGTCTTCCCACTCAGAAGCATCATTGCAAGGTGTGCCGAAAGGAAATCCATCCCTCCGCCGCTCGCATCCCATTGGCTGAATATTCCGAGGGCAGACTTTTCTTGCCCCTATCCGCAGTGACTCATGTTTGCGTTGACGACACAAGTGCTCTGGTGTGTAAGCTGTGACGACGCTCAGTGTTGACATGAAATCTGATTAAACTTGCACACGGCCAGCGACTCCCTCTGCCGTTTTTCGTGACACCGCTGAAAAATTACAAAAACGTTCACTACATGGGGGCAAAGAGGATTTTGCAAACATTGGAGACGCTTGGGTGCCTCTGATGAATGTCATTTTTTTGGATTTGTGAAACACTGATAATCTCTTGTCGACAACATTCCTCTTTATGCAACCCGACACAAGCAGTCTTTGATGGTGTGTTTGAAAGACATTTTTGCTTTCGCCATCCTGGAATGATGTCGTTCCATATACATTTCAGACTTGATTGAACGAGTACAGTTTACATAAAGTTTTTTTAAAACAACATAAAAGACAAATTTTAGATTTTTTTTTTAAAATTTGGTTTGGTGTGTAATTATAATTTATTAATGAATTAATATGTAGGTTTTTTTTTGGGGGGGGGGGGTATAAGAGGGGACTAAAGAATATTAAAGGATATCTTATTATTATTATTAAATGACTCAAAACAAATCTGAAAAAAAAAGCACTGTTCCCTCTCATTTTTTTTCCATGCGACCGAGGCGAGCATTCAGAGCAACTCCCTCCCTGAGCCTTGTCCCGCCTTCCATAGTCCACGGTGGGCAACATCACACATGCGCACGGCAGCCAAACCCTGCGATCATTCGTTACGTGACATGTGTTATTCAACCGTTTATATCAAAGTAGAACATATAATTGAATAGAGAGTTGTGACACGAATAAAATCATCCCTAGTTTCTATTAGTGGAGCATAATCAAGTCTCAGTGCAATCGGCGGTGCCACGTTGTCCACTCATAAATCACGGAAAGCATGTCATCCGATAAAACGCGACCATTTGGACTCACCTGGACTCTGAAAGGCGCGGCGGAATCTCGTTTGCGTCAGGCGCTCGTAAACCGCCCCCATGTTTGGACATGAACGAAGCGGTTTGCGCGTCGCCTCGGCGTCTCGTCAGCGGTGAGCGCGAGTGCGTCTTTTGTCAATATTTGCTTCAGCTGTCAAGCGAGCGCGCGCCCTCGGTCGCGCGACCGAATCTGTCCGGCTTGGTGGATGAAACGGGGCTGGAAAAGAAGGAAAAGGGATACAAGTGTCCTGTGTGTGCGTGGTGCGCGCCACTGCCGACCTGGGCGCATGTGCTCAGGAGGCTGACAGACACCATCTAGCTCTTTGCTCAGGAGCTGGGATGATTCAAACCTTCACACCGACAAACAAAAGCATAAACACCAGCCGGCTCCCAATTAAAAGGTGTTTTATTGAAACAACGCCACCGGCGCGATCATACACAAAGACGCTTTGCACTTCGCAGAGATGATAGCACCTGCAACAAGTCACAAAAAAGGCATTCACAACACAAGGTCCTGACCAATCGTGACCTCTTTTGATGACGATAGAAAGCGGCTTTCCCATCCCGCTGCAATCAGATTTAGCTTATCTTTTTCCTGCTCCCATTCTTGAGGTGAGTCATGTTGAACTCACCGGGTCAGGAGGTTTGCTTGGAAGCCCTCCTTTTCAGAAGATGCCTTGTTCCTTTCTCCGGTCAATGTCTCGCTTCAGTTGGCAGGTGGCACACACCAGGCAGCACGAGTTCGCCATGAAGTCACTGCACAGGGAACCCTGCAAACGCAACGTCAGGCGCAAACGCTCAGCTGCATGCATTGAGATCTTGAGACATACATCTCTCTCTCTCTCTCTCTCTCTCTCTCTCTCTCTCTCTCTCTCTCTCTCTATATATATATACACCCACACACACAGTATTGACACACTCACTACATCCATACATACGAGCATACTCTTGTTTGTACTGGAGTGCCAGAGAGAGAGAGAGAGAGTGGAGAACAACGGCTCGCTGAGTAAACTCGCAGTCTCATCGTCACGAAGGAAGTTTGGCGTCAGCGATGAAAAAGCAAAACCGACACTGGTTGATGTGGCTCATTTCGCAATTTTAGTTTTTCCGTAAAAGGATGACAGTCGCTGACAAGTTCAAAGTTTTCAACCCAAGACAATTTTGTGTCTCCCAATCAACCTAAAGTTCGGGTTTTCGGTCGCGTCGATAAAACGAAAGTAACTTTGGTATCTAACTATAGCTAGCTACATTTTCGCAAAAAGTCAATGTGGTCTTCAGTGAGCCTAAGCTGTATTTTTATGAATGCCTATGTCGTCAATCACAACCCAAGTTTTTGTTAAAAAAAAAAAAAAAGTAGACATTTGAACCCGACATACCTATTTTGGAAAATTTGAAGCTTGTCGTATTCAGTGAATGTAACAGACGAACTGACTTTAACAGTTAAATCTTCAATGAACCTAAGCTGCTTTCGTAAACACGACGATGATTTAGTCTTCAATGAAATTAACTTGCGGGCTTAGAATATTCAAGTAGTCTTCACAGAACCTAATATGCATGCCATCATAAAAAAATGAAGAAAATAGTCTTTACTACATCTATTAGTTTTCAGAAAGATCAACCGCATTTTAGTCTTCAATTAACCTGAATTTTGTAAAAAAAAAAAAAAAAAACCTAATTAGACATGTCTGGCATAGCATGTTGCCATAAGATCCGGAGAGAAATTTGTGTTTTCGTAAAATCCGTGAAATCCGATTTTCTATCCTCAACAGACCTCACGGGCATGTTTTCATAACAGTGTCGGAACAAGGATCTGAAAGTCAAAATTCATAAACAGGTGTTTCCAAGGACGTCCACTTCTCAGACTTTCTGTGACTCTTCCAGTCCCTCTCCATCTCTGCTGCCACCCGGAAGTTTCAAGCAAAATGAGGCAGACATGCAAAGAAACTGGAAGGCGGACGTCCTTGGCAATGTTTTGGTCCAGCTCTTTGATCGAGAACCACAAGTGGTGCAAGAAATCCTGAAACATTGAACAATTGGACCCGCTGCGCACATACGTTGATGTTGTAGCGGGTGCGGTAGACGCTGCGGATGGCCATGCTCAGGCCGCACAGGCAGCACTCGTCCATGTCGCCGGCGATGGTGCAGCTCAAGCACGGGAAGCACCACAGGCCATAGCAGCCTGCGGACGCGAGAAGGAGAATGGGATGAGCAACGCAACGAGGGAGGGGGGGGGGGGGGCACCTCCACACACTCTCAGTTGTTACTTTGTACTCATAGGCTCTCTGTCCTCACTTAGTAAGTGCACTAGTAGAGCATCCTAATGCGGCGACCTTTCCGGGGCCTTTGAGCATTTCGTCAATATTCTGGCTTAAGGTCCTTTAGGTGCATTTTTTGCGCTCATTCGTAAGACAATTCGGGGCACTCATCGAACGACTTTCTGACTTGGATTGTTTTTTCCTCTACTGCCTTCCACTACTGTGCTGTGTGACGGGACTGCACACTCGTCGGACAATCACACGTTACGAGTGATGCAAACGTCTGGACGAAGTTGACAATGGCTCATCAAGTGCTAAATGTTAACGTTGAGGAGAGTTTCAGAATTCCCCTCATTCGCTTTCCCGAGCCGTCAATGACATCATTATTTCCCCGTCAATTGAATGGTTGGTCAGTAGGCAGAGGGACACCCTGAACCGGTTGCCAGCCAATCGCAGGGCACACAGAAACATACAACCATTCGCACTCACACTCACACTCACACCTTGGGACAATTTGGAGTGTTCAATCAGCCTGCCATGCATGTTTTTGGAATGTGGGAGTACCTGGAGAAAACCCACACAAGCACGGGGAGAACATGCACAGGAAGGCCGGAGCTGGAATTCAACCCCGTACCTCTGCACTGTGAAGTCAACGTGCTAACCACTCGACTCCTACTATCTGTATGTTGCAAAATTGCTCCACGTGATGCCAATCCCACTTGATATGTCTTTTATAACTGGCTGATTTATTGCCATGTCGGTTATTTTGGGCTGCGCCGTAGACTTTGATCGTTTTATTGCTTGCTCATTTTAATTTTTTTTTTTTTTTTTGACGACTGCAGGTCAACTGTTTGTGGCGCATGGGCTCAACATGCGACTCTCAAGTTTGAAATGGAAACAACAATTTTGCATATTGATGCAGGTCACTTCAATTTTTTTTTTTTTAATTTAGAGAACTTACAAGTTCCACAATCGTCGCAGAAGTCGCACAAGCCGGTCTGGAAGTCAGAGGCTGGATATCTGCCTGGTTGGCTGGTCACCGCCATGAGGATGGCTGGGATGAGAAGGAGCTTGTCACTGTAGCAAAAGTTTTGTTGTCAGAAAAAAAAAGAGGACTTTCTTCCGGTAGTAAGATAGCTTTTGTCGCATACAAACAAAGTACAAAAATGTGTTCATGCATAAATGTCAGAGAATCATAGCAGAGATTTATTTTAACCTAAAACTAAGATAGGCAGGAGTCATGGCGTGATTTGTTTTATGGGCGTGCCAGTCCACAAGAGCATTTATGCCCATTTTTCTTTTTAAATGATATATTATTACAAAAGCTTTTTTGACCACCACACTATGACTTGCAGAGCCCAGTTAAGAGAACCACCGCTCGGTGTGTTGCAAAATAAGTTCCTCTAAAGAAATATTGTCCCTGACTGCTACAACCACAACAATGGTAATAATAAAATATATACTGGATTAGATTTCACATCCTCATTTAAGACACTGAGAAAATTCTCCATATTGCGAGGAGGTATTTAGCACGGTATAGATTTCATTTTTCATCATTTTAATTGAGCAACTTTTATGCACCTAGAGTTTGGGGGGAAAAACGGAATGAAAAAGGATATTTCACATGGATTTCTGTAGCCAATGAAAATAATGTAGCAATCCTACTAATTTCTGAAGCGAATAGGCAACTCTTACCGTGTGAGGTTGCGCTGAGGAGGAACTGATGAGGGGGGCGGGAGACGTCCGTGCGGCCTTATCAAGCTGGGATGTTTTATTGAAGGTCACGCCCCTGCTTTTTTTTTTTTTCTTCCTCAGCGCAGCACCTGACACTTGAGTGAAATCCAAAATGTATTGGGTTATATTGGAGGAGAAAAAACAAAAACATCACGAGTCACGTCACATGAAAAACGCGAGGGAAAAATGTGTCATTTGTTGGAAACGTGATGATTGTTGGGTTAGTACCGCGGTTATAAAATTGACAAGGCTGCTTCCACGCCTTCACCTTGGTTCACTGCACAAGTGGAGAGGAACTACTAAAGTGTGAACGTCTACTTCCCTCTTATTAAGAGGCGACCACAACCGTTTTGAACTCGGTTACTAAAGACAAACGTACATTTTATGTTCTAGGAACTCGGTCTTTCCCAACCTTTGCTTTCATTAGAAATACACAAAAAGTATCGGCGATACACCGATACAACGTTTACCCACCAATTTATAAGATGATTGCAGTTCCTCAATTCGGCCTCACGGGGGTGCTGCCTGTCAGAAAGTGCAGAGACTAACAGATTGCACATCTCCGTTCAGCCTGACGGGGTCGCTGCCTACCACAAAGTGAAGCGATTCGTGTTTTGAAAATGCCACATAATGATCACTTGCGTGTGACAAAAAGTCACCCTCACCACTAAGCCTTTCAGACTCACCATGGAACACATTAGTGGATTTCTCATGACTACTTGAATTAATTTTAAAAAAGGCAACGATGAAAAGTAGTTCGTCACCGTGACGACAGCTCAACTTTGTGGGAGAAACCCGGAGGGGTTGCTGAGGTTTTTGCCCGGATGGACATGAGCACAGATGATTTGGGGATAGGATGGGGGGGGAGAGGGAGAGAGAGAGAGAGAGAGAGAGCATGCACTCACCCCCCTCCCGCACTCTCACCACCTCTCCCTTCCTCTTGCAACCTTAACTCACTTTTTAAGCCAGCCTGAGTCAAGATTATAACGGGTTGGAAATAGAGAGGGAGCCCCACTGCAAGAGTGTGCATTGTTTTGTTTTGTTTAGTTTTGAATTCGAGCGACCGGGTTGCTTCCATGCGCAGGCGAGAGGATGACCGAGGAGCCCGCCAGGAGATGAGCGCAGGAGCACGCACCGGTCCGGTGCTTCGTGGGGCGGATATCGACTTTCTGGACGCACATCCCGCACACTTGGACCGGAGCTGACCACGACCATGGTAAGTAGCGCTCCACTAACTTGACCAAACTGTATGACAGGTGCTTGTTGTTTAAGGAAATGACTTAAGTGCTGTCTAAAAAGGCACTCTTTACTGGGTCCACCTGTACAAAACAAAAGTGCGGCGAGGTCACAAGTTTCTTTGACCTTTGAAGAGTTTGAAAGACTTAAAATTGCCCATCCTCTGTCTTTCCACCAACGTTAGCAAGACGCGTGTCTTTGATGGTTACAAAGACACGCCTTGTGTAAGTAAGAACGAGAAGACGTGCGCGTCGTTGATGTTTTCACATTTCAGCCAATTCTTCAAAGTTCACCTTAGTACATTTGGTTACTTGAAGACAATAACTCGATGACGAGCTTTACTAAACACACGTTGAGTTCACTGAAGACTGCCTTTGATATTGGCAAACATCTAAGTTGTCATTTTGCTCATTGAGGACAAACAATCATCATCACCAAAACAAACTTTGGGTGCTTGGAGACTCTGAAGTCAGTCCCATGATAGCTAAAGACTGAAGATTGTCTTTGATAAATAATAAATTAAAAAAAAACATGTTCAGGTCATTGAAGACTGTGTCTTTGATGTATCCAACCATCCATTTGCTGCATTTATGGACGGAAATGTTACCCTTTGATTCATCCATCTTAGTCGGATTTTGTTCCAATCTCGTCAAATATCTTCGTGTCATGTCCTCTCATATTTTAGTTGTTAGTATTAAAGATGACTTGACCTTCCTTCATAGGTGACAGATGCACAGATGCCGCTTACTCATCAGTCTTGGTTGGATCTTCTTTGTGCGTCGTCACATTTTGGACCTTCATCTTAGCAATGGTGGTCATGTCAATCAGACTCCGGTCCAACCTGTGAGCCTGTGCTTTGGAACAACACAAGAGTGGTTGACAAGTGAAGCAAGAGTCGTCGTAACGCCTTGATCGATTCCCTTTGGCAGGAATGCAGATGGCTGGGCCGAGGCTAGTTTCCCATGTAGAGCTTCCTCTCCGGACTGCCACCTGAGCGTCTGATGGATCGCCGCGTTTTGGCCAAGCTGCGAACATGAATCGTGAGGCCTCCGCCGCGACGTGGATGCTTTTGCCTCCGGGAGAAATCTGAGCATCCGGGATTCGCACAGACCTTTTCTTTTTTTTTCTCCCCCCCCACCCAAGCCAGCGAGGGGACGCAAACCATGGAGTTGTTATGGTTTGGCCTCGGACTGAGCGCATGTTTTTAGTCCAGCTGTAGCGCCCACTTCCCCTTCCTCCTCCATCCCATCCCATCCCCCGCCACCCTTTCCCTCATGTCACATCTTTCCCAGAATTATGGAAATTTTGTGGAAGGCGCTGACTTGGACATTGAGTCTGGTGGTCATGGCTGCTTCCGAATTTCAGAGCGTCGATCAACTTCCACACAACTCCCAAGGTAGGACATCAAAACAAGCCTTGAGTTTGGAATCCTGGAATGGTTGACATCTGAGGGTTCACATTTACCAATCATATGATTTACCAACTATTGCTCACGTGATAAGCGGAGCATTGCTGTTGTCCGGACTTCTGGTGGTCCCTTTAACCTGAGCATTCGTCGCGTGCGTTCACAGAGGAGTTCCTGTCCTACCTGCAGCACTACCAGCTGACTGTTCCCATGCGAGTGGATGAGAATGGAGAGTTCCTGAGCTACGCCGTGAAGCACCACCGACCCGGACGGCGGAGACGCGGGGCGGCCGACCCTTCGGCGGGCCCGTATCCGGAGCCGCCCGATTCCCAGCTTTTCTACAGACTCTCCGCCTACGGGAAGCACTTCCACTTAAACCTGACTCTCACCCCTCACCTGGTCTCCAAGCGCTTCACGGTGGAGTACTGGGGCCGCGATGGCCTGGAGTGGCGCCACAACCTGGTGGACAATTGCCACTATGTGGGATTCTTGACAAACCGGCGCGGGGCCACTCGAGTGGTGCTCAGCAACTGCAATGGCCTGGTGAGCGCAAAGTAACCACCAGAAACTTTTCAGGTGTCATTCACAAAGATCTTACAGGAGGTGTATTGCTAGCAAAGGCGATGGAAATTTGACATTTCAACATGTACGTTGAGTCAGAAGTACACCGCGTTCTCTTAATCGCTCCGCTGTGGTGAAACGACCCATCAGGGTTCGTTTACTCGTGGTTCCGCAGACCCCGAAGAAGGGGTGGCCTGGCGGTGAAATGGAGTATGACACAAAAGCCTTGGCCAGGCCGAGCGTTCAGACGAAGCAGCGCACAACATTAGCGCCATTGTAGTTTGCCGCCAGGAGAAAATCAACTCGGGCATACGTCGTGTCGGCTTGTCGCGCTCGTTAAATGTCAGATGTCGTCCCCGACTCCTCTTCAGCCGTCCATTCTCGTAAGAGAGGTGGGAAAACGACTCACTGTGTGTACCCGGGTCAGGTAACGATGTATTTTGTGAAACAGCGACTGGAAGTCAGAGGACTCTTTTACGGGCCGTGGCGGAGAAATGACTGTCAAACCTGCCCCGGTCAGTATGTATTCTTCTGCCATGCCGTGGCTTCTGTTTCGGTCAACGCACCATCGTTTTTCTTTCAGTCACTATTTGTGCAGTTATTGGCCAGTCAACATGTCACACTGATAATGTAATCCAACAAACGACTTGGCAGGAACAAGAAGTCAAGACAGGAAAATAAAGCGGAGCTCGCACATGTGAAGATGTATTCGCCTCGTAGCCAAATGTGCTGGCAGCATCGAGACGCAGCGTCATAAATTGAATTAGTGTTTGCTCTCTTTTTTTTTCCGCGCACCCCCCTCCACTCCCCCCCTGCTCACAACACCAAAAATGGTCAAAAGCGAGCGTGCGCTTTAATGCAATCAGCCGTCTGGACAATTGGAAAACCTTGACTCAGTCTTGAAAAGACCCAAATAAAATACGTTTTATATTTTCACAGCGCCAAGACACTCTTGTCTGCTCAAAAGAGGTGCTTTAGGGTAATTGTTTGAATGCCGGTCTTCACTCTAATTGCTTGTTTGACTGGCTGCTAAAGGATTACGTATTTAAATACCAACTATTTGGCTTTACTCCTCTTTGTGGCCAGGAATCTTGGAGGAGACGCAAAAACAACAGATATGGGTCACTGACGGCTATTTGAGAGAGTCACACTGTTTCAAAAGGCGGCCGGCGCAGGGGTTCTCAAAATGTTGATGTTCATTTTTGTCAAGCACAATCCGAACGGCAATCAAACATCACGACAAGATATGATCGGAGATGTGAAAGTCACCATTTACAAAGTGACAACAATACAACATGTTGCTTAGCATCAAAAGCTGACGCTAAGTAATATGGTTGACTTGTTCGCCGACCAGTTTTAAGAGAGGAATCTTTGCCACGAGGTAATATTTGGCCAAAAGGCGACATATGTGAAACACTCGCGAGGTTAGCCAAGTGGTTTCAGCAAGAAAATAATGGAGAGTTACCCTTCGTAGCTAAATGTGCTGTTCGCTGCCAGCTAGCAAATGATAACAAGTGCCACAAGCGAATATTTCTTCAAAATGCTTAAAATACAACTCCCTTATGTTAACTCAGTATTTTAATCAAGTCAAAGAATGGATAGCAGCTAAACATTAGCTCATGAATTAGCTAGCTTACCAGCTTTTTGTTAGAGTACTGCCGATGCGGCCCGCGCATTTTCCACATGCTGTATTTGTGACGTTCTTTGAAATGATTATTGACATTGTGATGATGAAAAAAACAATAACTTCGCTAAAAACGAACTAGCTGATACTTGTTTGTTGCGCCTTTGGACAATATAGACAGCTACGCAAAAAATGTACGAAGCCAACAAGTGATGAAGTACTTTTCTTGTTTGTATCCTCTTTGTCGCTCTTCTTCCCCTGTGACCAGCACGGCATCATAACGACGGAAGAAGAACAGTATTTAATTGAGCCATTAAAGAACACATCCTCCCCCGCCAGCGAACGGAACCCGGATGAAGCACAGCAACACGTCATTTATAAGATGTCCGCCATGCCCTCGTCGCAGGAGCAGAGCCAAGAGTCGAGCTGCGGCATTTCAGGTGGGAGCACCATCCCCGTCAGGGGGTTTTTCATAGGAGAGGCTAGTCGCACATATGCAAGTCATCAGTCTTGACCTTTATTTCTTACCCTTCAAGTCCCAAAGTTACCGCGGCAAATTTCAAGGAAGGGTCAAGTCATGGCTTAGGTTAAGCAAGTCATCAAACAGGCCTGCGTCATCACAACAGATCGTCACATATTAAGCACTAACCTGATAAACTAAACTGATCTCCATATTGTCTCTTTCCTGTCTTCCCAATTAAAGGCATAGCTGATATACAGCTCAGTTCATGTTTGACCAGCTCCCGGTTAGCTAAACTGTGAAGTTCACGTAGCTTACCTTACTTTGGGCCTCATCGCGATGGGTGAAGTGTAATGTCGCCATCGTTGCGTCTCTTTATCTTTGCGCTGCAGTACAAAAAGATATTTCATGAATCCTACAGAACTTTTAAATCACACGTGCCACGTATATTATGTCACCCTGTTCAGTTTGTTGTGACTGTATGGTATTTGTATTTTGCTTGGTTTTACTCTGCTGTCTGCTGCCAGGGCGTTCTCAACTGCCTTACCCGGATAAAGGTTGTAAATCAATAAACAGACAAGAAACATACGTCAAGTCACATAGGCCAAGTCTAAAAGTCAAAGTCAAGTTAAGTGTTTCAGAAGCTTTAGTCAAGCAAGTCTGCAGTCTTAAAATTGGGGACTTCGGTCAAGTCATCTCTCGATATATCTTTGCGCGGCTCCAAATAAACTGTGTATGACATTCACACGCGAGAAGGTGCACAAATCTGTGTCAAGACGTTGATGTCAAAAGACGCAGAAAGGCGAAACAGGCGGATATGGAGCGATTTGGGACAGGGTCTTTTTGGCACCAGCAAAAAAGCTGTCGTCGACAGGAAGCCGGCGTGCCCCGACACGTACCATCTTAATGCTTTTACCCAGAACATCTGGGTCATAAAGCCAAAGGCGAGAGCGGCAAAGTTCAGAGCCAAAGACTCGTGCGCATTAGAGTTACTGCCTTTAGAATTCATAGCGGTGAACGTGGGTGCGAATGACTGCAACTGAAGCAAAGCGGTTGAACCAAGGCAATATTTCTTCAAGTCTTTGTTTGTTCGTCTGACCCGATGACTGTGATTTACAGACCTGGTTAAAAACAGCAGCCACGCCCCGGCCCGAGCATCCGCCGCAACCCGACCCGACGACACGGGCCGCGACGGCACTCGGCGAAGGCGGCGCTCCGTCAGCACCGAGCGTTTCGTGGAGACGCTGGTGGTGGCCGACAAGATGATGGTCGGCTACCACGGCCGCAAAGACATCGAGCACTACATCCTGTCCGTCATGAATATTGTAAGTTTGATTGCCGCTTTCTTGGATGGCGCCCCCCGGCGGACGCCATTTGTCTGACTTTGTGTTTTTTCTTCTTTTCTGGAGGTCAGGTTGCCAAACTTTACCGTGACGCCAGCCTAGGAAATGTTGTGAACATTATCGTGACACGGCTCATCGTTCTGACCGAAGATCAGGTACGAAGACCTCAGCAAACCTCACTAACTATTTGCATCGGATGTTTCGGTCGCGGTTGTGACAAATGCGTCTCGGCTGGAAGAAAAGCGCCGTGTTGGTGTTCCCTGTGCATTCTCAACTTCATCTCGATCCCCCAGCCTAACCTGGAGATCAACCATCACGCCGACAAGTCTCTGGACAGCTTCTGCAAATGGCAAAAGTCCATCCTGTCCCACCACGGCGACAGTGGCAACAGCATTCCGGAAAACGGGATGGCCCACCACGACAACGCCGTGCTCATCACTCGGTGAGGACAAGTCGGCGCTGTTTTGGCGCACTTGGCTGTTACAATGCCGAGGGCCCAATCAAGAGGAAATGAAAATAGAAGGTGCTCTGTACAATGTCATGCAGCGAGAGCCAAAAGCTGCGCTCCTCTTTATCTGCGGTGTTGTTGGCCGGACTGTTTGGCCTGGTAAACTATAGCAACTCAAGTGTTTGCGGGCGGATTCTGTTTCAAGAACAGTCTCTTCACTTTCTGTCATCAGAGCTCTCTTGCTCGCTGACGCTCTGCAGATTGTCTCCTGGATGACATTGCCTTTCTCTCTCTCTCGCATCTCTTTGTTTTCCCGGAATTCATTTGGTCGTCTCCTTCAATCAGAACGCCGCGCTGTGTTTGAAGTGGATGCAGCGAGTTCAATCTCAAAAGATGCCAGGAGCCATCGAGACGATGCCGATCATCGTTCAGTGTCGCATTTCCGAAAGCTGCGCTGCCAAAGAGCTCCTCTGTCAAACTCGACATTTCAGAAATTGACCGCGACCGTGATTTCGCCTAACGGTGAAATATACAAAAGCCTTTGGCGATGTTGATCGCAATCAAGTGGCTGGACATGACCTTGAGGAGGGCACGAAGAAGACAATACACGTGCTTTGTCTCTCTCCCTTTGAAGGTGGAGCGTTGAGGGGCGAGGGTGGCTGTTTGATGTGAGAGGGCGGGGTCTGCTCTCCAGGGTGATCTTACGTTTAGGGGTTAGGATTGGGGGACTTTTCTATTAGGCCTGTATTTTGTCGGCTTTCTAGTGTGAAAGTCAGATTTATGGTTCGGGTGCTGAGTCACTTTTCCGAGGTTTGCTTTCCCAGTAAGAGTTAAGACTACTTTGTTTGAGTTCCAGGTTAGGGTTCATGGTTGGGAACCCGTTCAATGAAGTTTGAGGAACTGTGAACCGAGGTCTGCGGGGGGAGCTGCGTTGGGAAGAAGGCGGGAAGCAGAGACAAATCAAATTTGCGGTGCCCTTGGTTTTAATAGATTAAAAGCTTTCGCTACGATTCGTGGCCATCGTAAGTTGCACGCGGCCTCCCTCGGCTGCGCTGTATTGGATTAGCGGCACGGCACGCGAGTTAGCGGGGTCAACGGTGAGGTCACAGCGCGACTTGGTCCACCTTCGTGCGGCAAGATGGGAACGGAGCAGTCACGACAAGCGTTTAGATTGCTTGCATCTCGGCTGAAGTTCATCTTATCCTCTCTCTCTCTGTTTTATCTTTTCAGGTATGACATCTGCACCTACAAGAACAAGCCGTGTGGAACGCTAGGTGAGTACGGTGCAGCAAAATGACGGCAAAAAAAAAAAGAAGTCCTAAAACTGGAACGTCGGCGTTAAAGTTGACAGTCCTGAACCCGGCACTGCGGAATTGCCTTCCACTCGGGCAACATTGTCTCAAATTACGCCTCCGATCCGATTTTGGAAACCTCGAACTTCATGGTTCGTGGATTCACTGACTTCACTGACCCCTGATTCCACATTGGTTGCTTTCCACTGACATGGGGGGGAAAAGGCAGAATTATCACAGTTTTAAAGACTATGGAAGCCAAGAACGTAGACCCGCAGTTTGAAAATCAGAAACAGTAGAGTTGGGATTCATCACCGTGTGCCGTTCACGCAGCAAAGTGGGATATTGTGTGCGCAGTTTTAGGCTGAGGCTACTTTAGGAAGGGATTGAAGGCAAAACAAAAAGACGACGACAGCCACCACCCCCCTCACTGCCGCGCCTCCATTTCCCTCTCCCCTCTCCCATCTCCAGTCTCCTCTGGCCATCTTATCTGCGCAAGGGCCCGCAGGCGGCACAGTATATCTTGGAGGTCTTCTTGTGACTTGAGGGAGCGCTTTGACAGATTGAGCGCATTCGTCACATTCCCCCAGTGGCTTTAAAAGCCTCGGCATCTGCTTGGCTTCCTCGTTGTCTACTCCCCACCCCTCGCCCTCTTCTCGGGGATCATGCTCCAGGGCAACAACTCTGGCCTTTTGGGGTCACGGAGTAATCACGGAGCCTGCAGATAGTACACAGTCCGCGCCGGTGTTAAGAAAACAACTGACACTCACGCATGCATTCTTCAAGTAATGGCAGAGTAGCCGCTCTCCTTCCTTTCCCTCCCTCTCCCGCCTCCTTTCCTCACCTTCAGGCTCGCCTCCTTGCATTTGGGACCATCGCGATTTGCGAGTCTATTCTTGTTTAGCCTCTTAGCAAAGAGGATACAAAAGCCGTGACACTCTTAGCCAAGGTGCGGCGGGGGGAGCTTGCGCAAACTCACCGCTGCGGCTGCCTTTGCCATTCGGACCCTCTGGTGTGTCGCCGCCCCCCCCCGCCCGCTGATGTTGCAGTTCAGTTTCAAGGTATTGGCGTGTTGGAGATCAACAAAGATCTAACACGATGCAAATATTGGTGTGCAGATGAGAATGTTGAATGCTTGATCTGATATATAACGGGGTCAAATAGTCAATAGATTGGCAGATGATTGAGATAGACGCCAGAGTGACAAGTACACATCGTTTTCAAACGAATTAGACCTCGGCGTTTTGCGACTTGGATGAACACCGGGTGCTGCCGAGATGTTCTTCATATTTCAAGCGTGGATGACAGACAGAGAGAGAAAGATGTCTTGTATCAGAGACAATGCTGATGTGTGTTAGTAAGAGTTCTCGGGATGTCAGCACGGACGAGACGAAAAATGCAATCTGTGTTTTTCAGTTCTCATGACCTCGGGGAATTTACAGGCCCTTCCATGCTGGCCAAATCGGCTGAATTTTCGCCGTTTTATTTCTCGTTTGTAAGGCGCCAGTGCTAACGGTGGGGAATCGCAGCCCGACATCGGTCACACCTCTTTTTCTGTTGAAAGCAGTCGTCACTGCGCATCTGAGCATCGGAATAAGCGAAACCGCAACACCAATGTTGCGCACTATGGATTTAGACTCAACTGAACAGTCGCGATAAGACTTGCTGATGACATCGCCTTGTACGCCTCTGTCTTAAAATGGTTTTGAATATGTCTTACGAGGAGCTAGCTAGACCGGCGGAATGCCAGACGCTAAGCTAACTTGCGTCGCTCGAGCTGTGAGCTGCGGCCGACCAGCGAGTGCGGCTAAACGTTGTCCTTCCACTATCCGCGCTGCGGATTTACCGTTGCCGTTTTGCACCATTGAGTCTTGTACAATCAACGTTCCCAACAACCCATCTAGTCATTTCCACACTCATTGTCATATTTAGTACATAACTTATACCGTGAAGGGGTTCAATTTATCCCATACTATACATTTTAGGCCTTTGCCCAGCTCTAATATCATACAGCAGATATCAAAGCTTAAACTGCTATCCATAGTTATGAATTGCCCCCCCACAAAAAAAAATTGCTAGTGAGACAGTCGTGTGCTGAATCAATCGTCTTACTCGTCAAAGAAATGCTAAGATGGCTTGAAATAAAACTGAGCATTTATTGGAAAAACGCCGCTAGTAAATGACAGTCAATGTAGTAGTTTGTCCTAATGCAACAAACAGCCTTCCATAAAACCGTCGAAACACGTATTTGGGGGTGGGGGGGACATGACTCGTAAAACACAGTCCTTCTACAACTGCTGAATTGTCTTACTAGAGAAGAGAAAGAACATATTACATGGACCGTAGTAATCTCTGTAGCAATGTTAGTGAATCAATGCTGAAACAGCATTCCAGAGTGATCACGCTTGAAAGTCTCTCTCTCACACACACACACACACACACACACACACACACACACACACACACACACACACACACACACACACAAGAGCCCTTCCCCCACTACACACACGCATGCACA